AGAAGCCATGTTGCGTGGCACTGTGTGCGCTACGATTCAAGAGACGAGCAAAGGCTCCAGTACCAACAGGTTGTGGGAGTGTCCAGATTGTAAAGCGGTAAGGTTCACAATGAACCTCGTGACCGGAGCCGTAAAGCTAACAGAGTTGCGCAGGCCAGAGCGAAGACGATGAAGACAGGTTTTTGATAGGAGTCCGGTTAGTCATGGATGGTCGTTACAGTTGTCGGAGCGGCAGATGCTATGGCAAGCTTCAGTTCGTTGAGGGTCTTGAACTGGTGGGACCATGATTCTGCAATTATGCTCCCAAGGGGCAGGTCTGCAGTCGCTGGTAGAGAATCTGCGGCCGGCCATTCATCCGCCGCTGCGCAGTCGACCTGGAATTTCTTCCATCGGCAGATGGAGTAGATGATATTGGTGACGTGTAGTATGTCAATCTCCTCAGTATATCCATCTTCATCCACAAGCTCAGCGCCACCCCCCAATGGAAGTAAAGAACTGTTTCCGAAGTCTATGGCTTTGGGAGACCAGTCGCCGTCAAGCATCAGATTTCTCAGAGCAATATCAAAGACTAGGACTTTCTTGTCATGACATGCTATAAAGATGTCGAGGATTTGCAGGATCCATTCGATCCTCTGCGTCCAGGTTGACGGAGAATTGTTCTGAAGATATTCTTCCATATTTCCGTTACTGTAGTATTCCAATACTAGTCCATTTTCGCTTATGTCCAGGCAATTGGCGATACCAGGTACGCCCTGTAAGCGGCGGTAGACATCTTTTTCGCGACTCAGGTCGTTCATGTACATGTTTCTGTCATCGTCAGGTTTGATGCTGCCGTCTGTCATGGACGTCCCTAAGAACTTTGGGATCTTCATGACTGTGGATGATGTAGGGCTGTCGTGAATAACGCAGCCATCGAGACCCGCGCCAATGATTTTGTTCGCGTCGACGAACGAGCCGTCGGCGAGGATGAGACACGACAGGCCCCTTGAAGTCATGGTATCTGATACGAGAGATCCAGTTTAGGTGTGTTCATGTGCAGTCGAGAAGTGACGCGCGCAGAATGGCTATCAAGCCGAAGAGGTCAGTTGAGAAAGGAGATGCCAAGGGCGCCTGACAAGACCGTCCGTGCGCTCTTGCATTACCACAGCGAGGTTGGGAGGAGTGATTGGAGGCAATCGACGAAGCTGGTTTCTATTCGCTCGCTAACGGTAACGGAGATGTGATCCTTGCTTGCTCTCGCACGCGTTTGGGGGCAGGAACTGGGCTCTGATTGAATCCGAGTCTCACCTACCAACAAAGCCCTCATCGTGCGCGATTTTGTCCATAACCAAGCATGATGAATGTTTGGCAGCAAACAGAGAGATTCGGAGGAGGCTGTCTGATCAGGTACTCGTTAATAAATACTAGGCACTTGGCAGGAAACACGACGGCTAAGTCCGCTGTCTTGGCAGTGCTCTCTCGAGCATCTCACAGAGATCTTCTAACCCATCGCTGTATGCCTCGACACCAACACCACAGCAAACGTCAAAATCGGACTCGTCAACTGTTAAACCATCGCCGAGCCACTTCGATAGCTGAACGCGGTTCTGACCTCTTGAGCTATCGACCTCGCCTGCTCAATTTATCGCCACTCGGTGTCTGGACCTGCTCGCCTCGGACCGGACATTTCTGCTGAAGCAAATCATCAAACATTCGGGGCCATCCTCAAGGCCTCTCAAGACCGCCTAAAAGTCACGCCATGAGACAATGACATCCCGGGCATTGTCTCCGTTGTTTGTTACAAATCCCGAGATGGCAGAATCTCGGCTTCACGGCCTCTCACTGACGGACCGCTAAGCGTACGCACCTTCGGATAGCAGGCGCCATCACCAAAGGCCTCGGGCTTTGACAGTTCAATATGGAGTGTTCTTAGGCTTCTCAGGTTCTTCCAGTGAAACGGAAGAGACCGGTAAGTACGCTCGCCTGTAACACGTTACACAACAATGCAGTGGGATAGAAGGGATCGATCTCCTACATATAAGCATGAACACAACCTCTACTCAATAAACATCCATTGTCTACTCAAATCTCATCTTCCTGATTTCATCCTCTCGTCGAAAGACATCTTTCACTTCAAACATTCATCGCAAGCGGCTCGAATCGATCCAGACTCTAAACCAGTCATCTTTACAAATCCCCCTTCAGACATATACAGCCATGCGTCCAACACCCGCTCTACGTAACCTCCGCAGTATTAGAGCTTGCTTTCAGAAGCCTGAAGCTCAGAGCTTTCTCAGCAGTCGGTTTAGTCCACAAACTCAGATCTTACTGGCGAAGAGAGTTGGTTGGACTATTGTATGGTCAGTCCGCACGATAAAGCTCTCTGCCGTGCTTATCTGGTATACTGACTTGCTACAGGNNTATGGTGTAGCCGTCACGGGTGTGTTGGGGTGGCCGTTGATCACTTCGAAATTGCTCTATGGTAGAATTATGGTATGAAGACCATGATCAACATGATATGACATCGTTGGCCGGGAGACCGCGAGAACAAGGGCTGCTACAGCATTTGAGCTCGCGTCAAGCAAAGGGAAACCAGAGGACGGCCTCTTACATACGTGTGTGAGCTCGATACTTGCGCGAAAGAGACTTCGAGGTAGAGAACGGCAGGCACTTATACCATTAAACTTCAGGAACAAAGTCAGCGCTCTTCATGATGAGAAGATGTTTGTAACTTGGAGAGTATTCTTTCAGAGCGTTTGATACGTTACTGTATGTCAAATGCTGATCACTTCCTTCTTCGCCCCCACCTTGATCCTTCGCTTGACATTGTACCGAGCGGAGTTCTTCCCGACACCTCATCCTTGACAACCCCACAGATGATCCTTCGACACAGTGCGGGGGTCTGTACAAGGAACTAAAGAGGTCGAGCTGATCGTCTTGGATGCGTAGAGTCACGAGCTGACAACTAGAAGTCTTTTCCTGTGCTTGTTCACTTGCATTCTTGCAATTTTCGATCTTCTCATCTCTTTGCTATTTCTGATCACCATCACTATGGGCTTGTGGTATACTTTTGGGATAGCTTTGTTCGCTGCGATCGGCACTTTTCTGTTCGGCTTCGATACAGGCATCGCAACGACGAGTAAGCTAATTACAGTCCTTGGAAACTCAAACACATCTAACAACTTGGAACAGCGANTTGCGCATCAGAGCTGGATCGATTATATGGGCCATCCATCAAAAGGTCTTACCGGCGCCGTAAGGACTTCACTCCGGGGGACTGCAGTAAGAGACTGATATTTCCAGGTTGTCGCTGTCTATATCGCTGGCGAGGCTCTAGGAGCTCTGACTCAGACTGCCGTTGGTGATCGACTAGGTCGTTTGAGGTTCATGCAAGCCCTTTGCGTGGTTGTCACCATCGGCACTGTGATACAGACAGCGAGCGTCAATATCGGCATGTTCCTTGCTGGTCGAGTTCTGGCTGGCTATGCTGTCGNNGGTAAGTGATGCTTGTCAATCTTCGTGATGCTGCTGACACCGATACCTAGTGGTCTAGTCGGAACAGTTCCGATCTACCTCTCGGAGATCTCTTCACCACAACATAGAGGCCTCATCGGAGGCATTTCTGGCTGCGGAATCGCTTTCGGAACAATGGTACGCACATGACATTCCCAAACACCTTGTACATAGTCTAACCCCACACAACACAGANTGTCCAATTGGGTCGGCTTTGCCTGCAGCTACGCCTCCTACGGCCCTACACAATGGCGACTCCCCCTCGGCATGCAAGTCCCCTGGGGCATAATTCTTTTCTGCGGGCTTGCAACATTCATGCCCGATTCTCCTCGCCAATTACTGCGTATCGGCAAAGTGGACGATGCGAGAAGAGAGTTTCTAAAGATACGCAGGGATCTGGGGGGGCAAGCGGCGGGTCAAGAGTTTGGATTGATGAAGGCGCAGATTGAATATGAGGTTGAGAGGGAAGTCAAGAGTTACAAGGAGATTTTCCGGTTGTTTAGGCATCGGGCTTTTGTGTGAGTGTTTTTGCTTGGGTTTCTTCCTTTTTTTCTTTTGGTTTGGTTTGTGAATGGTTTGTGCTGATGGCAAGTCTCTAGGTCTATTGCTGTTCAGACGATGACTAGTTTGACGGGTGTCAATGTCATTCAGGTATGTTTGAGCTTTTTCACTGCTATCAAAACACGGCTAACAAAGAGTAGTATTATCAAAGTGAGCAAGACGCAATACCTTCTTCGAGTGAAGAATACACTAACACACTNNACAGCAATCTTGTACAAATCCCTCGGTATCGGCTCCAAACAAATCCTAGCTCTGGCTGGTGTATACGGCACAGTGGCATTCTTCTCAAACGCCATCACAACCACCTTTCTCACCGATCAATGGGGACGTCGAAAGTAAACATCTCACACACTTTGCCCTCAGAAGAAACTACGAGATAGCAAGACACTGACACAAACTCGCAGAATGATACTTACAGGTTTGGCAGGCATCGTGATCGTAGAGATCTATGCCGCAGTCATGCAACGCGAATTCCAAAAGACGAATAATCAAGTCGGCAAAGGATTTGCCATCCTAGGCATCTATCTTTTCGTCGTGATTTACTGTGAGTCCTGTTTTTCGGCTCCATACAATCTACGTACTCTGACGTGTTTCTCCACAGATGGCATGCTAAACAGCACAACATGGCTTTATGGTAGGTGCCCACGAGTCTCTGATCGAGAAGCAAGAGAAACTAACATGTCTTCAAAAACAGGAGCAGAAGTTCTGCCCATCGCCCTTCGAAGCCGCGTCATGGGATTGGCAGCAGCATCACACTTTATCGTCAATGTCGGCATCACAGAAGCAGGACCTAGTGCATTTTCCCACGTAAGTGTGCAAAGGAACACCCCAATGCCTGGAGTTGCTAAAAATGTCGCCTCAAAACATTTTTCTTCTCGCAAACATACACTTCAGACTAACTCTTTGCCTCTCTTCACCCACTACAGANTAAAAGAAAACTACTACTACGTCTTTGTGGCTTGCTCCTTCTTCTTCCTCGTAATCGCTTACCTCTATTTCCCGTAAGCTTTTTTCCTCCCTTCCCCCCACCAGCCCGTTCCCCTTTACACCACTCTTTCCAAACCAAACAATTCTAAAAACCCCCCACAGANNGAAACCAGACGCAAGACGCTAGAAGAAATCGCCGCTGCATTTGGCGACAAAGTAGTTACATTGACGGAGAGGGAACTGGCCATCGAAGAATCCATCGCAGAAGACAAGATTGTAGCGCAACATGTCGAGGACGTGTATGATGCTGGGAAGGTGTAAACAGTGTAGCTCATACAGAGTAGGGATGCAGAACTTTGCATGTTCGGTCACATCTGTCTAGCTAGACATTCTGGCAGATGGTATGGCAAAAAATTGGAAAGTACCTTGTGATTACCCTAGCTATTGTGTCTTCTCAATGTATCGATAGGCGTACGGTGGAGTACTGTGTGGAGAATAGCCATGTAGAAGAGATAGTACTTGTCGACATTGTAGCAACGCTTAAAGTATCAACTCATGCCCACGGGTGATTCGACCATCTCTAGATGAACACGGTATCATACAAATGCAAGGTTACCACAGAAGAGCAATATCACAACGGTGTTGGGAACATAGCTGAGGATATTGAAATGAAGTTTTCAGGTACGATGGAGATAATATGTACAAACATCCCGGAGGCTCTTGCCATCGAAAGGGAGTATATCGTATCCAAAACAAAAGAAAAGAAACCATTAAAGCCTTATGACCAGAAGGCTATTTGTCGTCATGAGAATTGCGCCGTGTGCCGTGTATGCCCCGATATGTCGTTAGATGTGATATGTACAAGCCTCAGTTTTTGCACTTGGCGAGGTTGACAGTCGGGTCGATCGTCGGGTCAATGTCCAAACCACCTTTTAGTTCTCTGTTTTAGTATTAATTATCTGCTGCGGGTACAAGGGAAAGGGAGAAAAAACATACTAAGGTTGATGAGGGAGTTGCCATCGGCAGAGTTGCCGTTTCCGTTGTTGTTGCCAGCGGAGTTGCCATTGCCAGCAGAGTTGCCGTTACCAGCCTCGTTTCCGTTTCCGTTGCCCTCAGCAGAGTTGCCGTTCAAGGCAGAGTCGCTGGAGCCAGGAGACAGAAGGTTGCCGAGGTTGCTGTTGCTGGAACCAGGGGACAGGAGGTTGCCGAGGTCGCTACCGACAGTAGGGGTAGGGGCAGCGACGACAGAGGTGGCCAGGGCCATGATGGCAGTAGCGAAGATGGTCTTGGAAAGCATTTTTGCGGAGGTTGTTTGTTCGTGGTAGAGCGAAAGAGGTTTTGAAAGCGATTGAAGAGTGGATGTGAGATGCTGGATGAGAAAGCAGAAAGCAGCAGTGGAATCGCTCACCTTTTTATGTTCTTTGCCCTTTTGCTGTGCCTTGTCTATCAATACTGAAATGACAGTCGATCGACATTCACTGATGTGCAATCACACATACGCAATATGGCGCTGACCAGCACTGACGGTCGTCGCTTCGGAGCTTTGCCATGTTGAATAGTTTGTTTGGCCTGGGGATCCTCGTTCAGGGTGAAGAGCCGCGGTGCATGCACCTCAAGCATGCGATGATGTTGCAAGAGGCGCGGTCGATCTGGGGGAGACTTGTAGATCAAATTTCATATAGGACAAGAAAGACCCACCTTGCATTACCCTATTAGGGATGGTCCGGACCTAGGAGATCATCTGCCTGATTCGGGACGGCGAAGTTGCAGCAAGCTGCTGGCCCTTATGAACGAATTTCTGGTCTGCATATCGATGATTGACGATCGTCATTCCAGGATTTGCTACAGTGGCTTTGGAATTGTGGTCGGCGTTGTGCTGAAGCTGGGATGCAATTGAGAAAGTTGCGAACAATGCCATCCGCTGGTTCTAGAATTCTCTCTTTGCAAAGCACTTTCCAATCCAATACCGCAAACGCGCAACTCGACGCAAACCAGATGAAGTCACAGGAGACAGAGCGCGCTGGGTGCTGAACAAGCCTCTCCCAAAAAAGTGGCGCGTGGGTATCGGATCAGCAATAGTGACGCTTCGGAAAAAAGCAGCCTGCATGAATAGCGCATGCCCATCCCAAAGGACCTCAAGCGCACAGCTGATCCCTTCTGATCCGGGAGCATGAATCACCATCTTCCGAGATTGTAGAACCCATGCCCGAACGCCGAGGTTCATGATGGATAAAGGAAGCCGCTCCGTTTCTGGTACCTTTTCAGCTTTTTCCGCAAGCCACCACGTACCTACAGCAGAGGCTCTGCAAGCCAACGTGCTTGGTGGGTAAAACAAACACGGTTGAGGCTCGGAGAAGCATAAAGCGCCACCATCGTCAACGAACCAATTGTGCGGCCAAGAGTCGGTTCTCCGCAAACGACGACGACTCGTGCAACTCTACAGTGACAACCAGCTAGCTATTCGAGTATTCGATCTGAGATGATTTGGCAGCTCGGTATCTAGCGAGAAAACAGTGATCGTTGAGACAAATTCTCCGGCGCGACGACGTTATGGACTCAAATGCAAATCGGCGGACGGCAACAGAGCCTCTTTCAAAAGTTGTGACGGTATCTGTGAAGATCTTTTGGAGATGGATGTTTGGTTCGCTCTATTCGACTGATCCACAAGCGAAAACAGAAAAATGGGCAACGATCTTCTCAGATCTCCGCTGTGTCTGCGTGGCGGACGGGCTTGTTGATCCCTTTTCCACGACTCAACTGACGATCAGTGACACAACAAATCGAGCAATCGACAGAAAGCGTCAAGGATGCCACACCCGTAAAATGCCTTTTAGCTAACATGCCGTCCTCGTCGCTCGCCATCGAGAAATCTGAGAAAAATGCCGAGGCTTGGTCAGAGAAGATGACCTCGTTGTGGTATAGACACTGTATGGACAACACACATGCGATAATAACAAAGAAAAAAACTGTGAGCAGCTAAAGGGGGTATACCAATTAACGAAGAACAGAAGAAAGAGAAAAACAAAAGTCGTCGCCAAAGGCTGGTTATGCAGGCCCATAATTATTGTCGAGCAGAACACACCATAGGTCCCTGCTGCCAACCATTCGGAAACCGTATCTACATCACGTTACACCGTTCCTCTCTCTCGGCCTGGGAGATCCTACCACCAGATCCAGGAGGAACATAGCCAGAATATTGTGGTGCGNNGGCTGTTGAGCTGCTGCAGCCTGGGGACCCTGACCTTGACTCTGCTGCCTTCTAAGCCGTTGAGAGTTGCTGTCCGTACGCCCAAGACCCAAAGCGCTCGATCGTCTACGATGCATAGATGGCGGTTGGGGATTTGTGTTGCTGNCCACTATGATTGGCAAAAGGACCTTGTTGCATTTGCAGTGCTGTCAAGGCACCTAGAGCATCTCCTTGCCTTGGTTCTCGTGTCGCGCCGGCCGGTCGGAATGGTCTATCAGAAGCCGCCTGCTCGTACGTAGGTGGTTCCTCATCGCCATCGTTTCTTTCTCGGATGTATGGCGCATCTGCTGTTGGAGGAGCGTTGTTACGAGAAGAGTTGGAATTAGTATTGTTGCCCATATTACTCCTTCGGGGAGGGATTGGAGGACGCTGCTCTGAAGACGGGCTTGGACCAGCATTTGCAGATTCACGCTCGAGGAATTGGCGTGAGAGCTCGTCTTCTTGTCTGCGGCGTGCTGCTTGGGCGCGGCGCTGCTGATCCTCCTCTTCCTCTTGAAGCTGGAGAGCCAAGGCTAAGTCAGCATCCTCCTGCTCTGATCCATGTCCCCGAGGTTCCGCAGGTGGCTGTGACTGAGACGCAGCAGAAGTTGAGCTAGCGATACCGCCGTGCGAGCTGCGGTTATTCCTCGAGGGTACGGTCTGCCAGTCATCTCCATCTTGAGTATTGGATGAGTTGTGTCCGACTGGCCTGAAGTCGCCCGAGAAAAAGCTGCCAGCTGCGCCACTGACATCAACCAAGCTTTCCCATACAATCTCATCATGAGACGAGTAACCTGCATCTGTGACGAGATTCATGAGCGTGCCACTTCTTGGATGCTTGTACAGTGTCGAAAAGTGATCGTTCCTGAACAGGATGGCGATTTGGCCGGGTCTCAAGAAGTCTGCAATCAGCTTGAGACCGTGTTCAGTCAGCTGAGTAGAGTAGCTAGTCAGGAACTCTTTGATGAAAATGATGTCTTCAAACAGCTGTTGTTCATGCGCTGACAGCCCATCGGTTCCCAGCTTGTGCTCAAGTTCGGCCTGAGCGGTCTCAATGTTGAGTGCATCATCGAAAGTCTTTGCCGATCGATCGAATGCTTCATAAGCTGACGAGATGGAAGGCGGTACCCAGCCATGAACAAGAGGCACCTCGAAGGCACTGTACAGACGCATCTCCCTTGTCTCGTCGAACGAGCCAGGTTGTCCGTCGGAGGCATTTTGAGCACCAACGAATCGTGGATTCACGTTCATACCGGTGTGCAAGGTGATGAGGAATGTGTAGAGCTCACCAACATCAGGGAGTGCTTTGCTCGAAATCTCGGTTCTCCTAGCGAGCTCCTCGAAGACAGCATCCAAGAGAAGGCCAAGGCTGATTTGTTCGCGTGAGCTGAGAGTGTCAACCAGAACTGTCTTGGGAGATTCCGGTGCTGACAGAGTCAGAGCATTGACAAGAGCAAGCAGAGGACAAGGGCCGTTGGCATTTTGTGTCAGGATAGGACAGCGTCGCATGTGGCCGTTAGATCCAGCGGCGGCATCGAACCAGTTGATCTGTTTGATTTGGTACGTCTCGTTACGTTGTTTACTGAGTAGTTCTTCGGCAGATTCTATAGGGGCGGCGAGGTTGGTGCTACGTTCGGGTTGATGGACGTTGATTGGCTCGGAGTTTGTTGGTAGAGGCGGAGGAACATTATCGGCGCTAAAGTCTATGAGAGATTCTTCTTGCTGTACAGGAGGAAGGGTAGGAGGTTGCGAGGAGGCTTCTGGCTGCGTAGCGGCCTGCGGCGGGGAGCGGAGTGGTGATTCACAGGAGGACCATATTGGTGATTTGTGGGCGGAAGTGGAGGCGCAGGAGGGGCAGTCGACGGAGCGTTGAAGGCCAAGGGCGACGCAGCAGAGGCAGGCGGTGGTGAGGGCGTGTNNTGAGAAATTTGGTAGGGAATGCAGAGGGCGCAAAGGAGGGAGGTGGGCCTGGAGGAGGCTGGAAGACGGCATCGAGCTGGTGCGGTTGTGGACTGGGCGTAGACTTNNCCAGGGATTCTGCATGTTCTGTTCCCTGTCGAGGTCTTGCTGCCATGGGTTGGAGGATGTTGATGAGACCAAGCTTCTTCTACTGCTCTTCTGGGGTATCTCTGGAGGGGGCGGCTCGAGGCCTTCAACATTCGTATTCTGTTGGACATGGTCGTCTAACGACAGAGCAGCAAAGGCGGGCGCAGGAGGTAGAGAAGGAGGTGGATAGGATGGAGGGGCTGGGGCAGCAGTCGTGGGTTGCGGAGGTGTCTCGCTCCATATGGACTGGCTGTCTTCGGAGGGATATGGCAGAGGTTGAGATTGAGCCGGCGGTTGCGGTTGGTTGTGTAGATTGTGGTATGGGTTGTGCGATTGGAAGGAGTGTTGAGGACCGGCTGCAGCTTGAGGGCGGCCGACTCTTAGTGAAGCAGGAATGTCTGCCGATTCTGGTTTCGGACGGTCATTGTCTTGGTCTTCGTGATCAGAAGAGAAGCCAGAGTTCCAGGTGTTGTGAGAGGAAGCCGAACTGCTCCTGGTACGCTGGAGAGACAGATCAGAGTCGTGTGGTGGTTGGTAGGCAGACGCGTGGTGGCCGTTGGGAGCAGAAGGAGCTGTCGGAGAGGTAGGATACGGCGCTGAAGAGGCTGGCTCGGGGTTGCGAGAGGGGACAGGCTTTCTCGTCACCATGGTTGAACGAGTCGAGAAGTGTCAAGTCAGAAAGCACGCGCAGGCTGCAGCCATTAGAAGAGAGACTCGGTCGCAATCAGCGTCATACCGTATAGCGCGCGGGCCGACCTACCGAGAAACCCCAGCCGTGCATGTGAAGAACACAGCCACTACTACTGTGGCACAGTCGTATTCATCTTCTTGGTGCTGCAGAACATCTAGGCAGAAACATTAGGAAGCTGTAAGCCATTGAAATTCATCTGCCTGGTCTCATCTAGTCAAGCTAGGCAAGAGCGCTATGCCAAGGTGACTGCCGTATCCGAAGCTGAAGAAGTCCAGGAAGTAGCGACTGACTTTGTTCAACCTACTCGAAAGAGGAAAGGACCCTTCTCCGAAGTCGCATGTGGCAGTGCTGCCTGCTTCTTCGAAAGTTTTGGCGGGGTTTTTGCACCTTCCCACCCGACACAGTCATACACCATGTCGATTCCCAGTCTGCGCGTCTTGTTGGTCGGAAACGGTGGTCGCGAGCATGCTCTTGCATGGAAGCTCGTGCAATCGTCCCACGTAGACCACATCTACGTCGTGCCTGGCAATGGCGGCACCGCAGGGTTCGTTCCCAATTGAGTGCACATGCGCACATCCATACTCAGACGAAGCCGCAGTTTCCCTACCAAGGTCACCAATGTTCAGAACGTCAAGGCCGACGACTTCCCTGCCCTGGTCAAGTTCGCCCGCGACAACTCAGTCAACTTCCTGGTTCCCGGTCCTGAAGCTCCTCTTGTCGCTGGCATTGTCGACTACTTTGCTCAGCACCTGCCCGACGTCAAGAGCTTCGGTCCCAATGAGGCTGCTGCCCGTATGGAAGGCAGCAAGGCCTTCAGCAAGGACTTTATGAAGGAACACAACATCCCTACCGCCGCCTACGAGAACTTCAGCGACTACGACAAAGCAAAGGCATACCTCGACAGCATCGACCACGACGTCGTCATCAAGGCCGATGGTCTCGCTGCTGGAAAGGGTGTCATCATCCCTCAGACCAAGGAAGAGGCTGTTCAAGCCCTCAAGGACATCATGCTGACCCGCGAGTTCGGTTCGGCTGGTGATACCGTTGTCATCGAGGAGCTGCTCGTTGGCGAAGAGTGCAGCATTCTGACCTTCAGCGACGGCTACAACATTGCCAGTCTGCCTCCTGCTCAGGACCACAAGCGTATCTTCGACGACGACAAGGGCCCCAACACTGGCGGTATGGGCACCTACGCTCCTACTGGCGTTGTCTCTGCTCAGGAGAACCAAGAGATTCACAAATCCATCCTCCAAGCTACTGTCGATGGCATGCGCAACTCTGGAAACATCTTCATTGGCTGTCTCTTCACAGGTCTCATGATGACCAAGGCTGGTCCCAAAGTCCTCGAGTACAATGTCCGCTTCGGCGACCCGGAGACACAATCTGTCTTGACTCTGCTCGAGTCTGACCTCGCCGAGCTCATGTACAGCTGCACCACAAACTCGCTTGCCTCGCTTGGTCCCATCAAAATCTCGTCACGTGCTGCTGCCACTGTCGTTGTTGCTGCCGGTGGCTACCCTGGCTCCTACGCCAAGGGCACTCCCATGACCTTGACTGCCACTCCCGAGGACACTTTCATCTTTCACGCAGGCACCGACATCGAGGACGGTCAGCTCGTGACGAGCGGCGGTCGTGTCATCGCTTCCACTGCTACTGGTCCTACTCTGAAGGAGGCCGTCGCTCGCGCCTACGAAGGTGTGCAGACCATTAAGTTCGAAGGTATGCAGTACCGCAAGGACATCGCCAGGCGCGCCTTGAAGTGAACTTCATGAGTAACGCCTCCCATACTCTTTTTCACGTTATATAGACCTCCGTTATGATCGCCAAGACAAAATTCTACACATGCAACTACCAAATTTGCTCATTCACCCGAACTTATCATCTTGCGCCACGTTTACTCGGCTTATCATGGCTCTTAACAATGAGGCTACGGTGTTCTTTGGCCACAAAGAGGATGTTCTCAAGCTTGTAACTTTCTACTCATCATGGCTTCTTTTCGAGCAGAAATGCGACCATATCACCGAACTACTCAAGCAGTTCCAAACCTTGCTATGTGGCCCAACATGTATCACCGCGCCAAGACAGTAGAAATCAAGTCCAGATCATCTCGCGTCTTAGAAACCTCCAGTCTATCATCCGACACTTCCTCGTTGCCGTCACTACCGCAAGAACTTCGAGATGTGATCTACGAATACCTTTTCAACGACCTATCCGAGCAGCGGCTTTGGCACCCTATCATAAGAGTGTCGAGAGAGACACGCAAAGATGCAACACCCATCCTCATGAAACACTTTCAGATTAGGCTCGTATACAGACACTGGAGCACCCTCCAGGAAGCCGAACGCAGGCAAAAGGCATCGACTCTAGAGTTGGTCATACATCCCAAATATGGAGAATGTTTGTTGGAACGCAAGAGCACGAGAGTGTGGATAAAGCTTTCGGACATCCATGCCTTGGTCTCGCTACAGAACACGCTGGCCTCACCACACCGGAGGGAGTTGAAATCCAAACCATGGTCTCAGCTTCCCGCACGAGATACCGACGAGCCTCCTGTCATACTCCGTTGCGATCACAGACTTTACAACCTCATTGTTGGAATAAGTACGGATCACAAGGGGTACAGTCGCGCTCGAGCCTATCTCGACAGCACCACATCTCACTTTCGCACTAATAACCATGTCGCACTCGATCCATGGAACCTTCAGAAAAACATGTTATTAACCCTGGATCCCGATGCCCAAACACAAGTCACCTTCTTTTGTCATGATTCAACGTGTCTGCTGCATTGCTGCAATTCAAAACGTGTTCCTCGGAAGTTTGCCGAGAAACTCTCCTCGTGGCCACACCTTAGCGATCCTGCATCTATGCCCTGGATATTGAGGACAATCGACGGCTTTGTGGCAGTGTGTGATTCGAAGCAGAAACAAGGCGACCTGTAGCCTTCAAGGTGAGATTGAGCTTTCTCTGTTCCAATCGCAAGATTGCCTCTATAGTTTTTCGAAGTGAAGTTTGATCAGGATATGCTCATCCATGTGAAGTTGGCTTTTTGACGTCCTCACACTGCGGTTCGAACATCTGGCCTGTGAATACATCCAGAGAAGGCTGCTGTGTGATTCACTACAATCCTCGCTTCGAAGTACATCTTCGCCTATTGAGAGCTCGCACTTTCTCTCCACGACATCTCAGCAAGCAAGGATGCATCAAAAAAAAAAAAACGCAAAACAAGCAGGAACGACCAAAATCTCGGAAACCCGTCATGCTCATCCAGAAGAAACGATTAAACAGAAGGAGAAGCAACAACCCAACTTAAAAAGAAGCATCGATGGAAGCATGAGGGGAAGGAACTACAAGGCTGCCAAAATCAATTCAAAGAATAAGAAGAAGCGATGGAGCAAGATAGGAAGGAACTATGAAAAAAGAAAGAAAAAAAAAAAGCAAAGATCACTTCTTCGCGAAGAAGGAGCGCTGGAGGCATAGAGATAAAGAAGCTAGGAAGGAACATAACATAGAGATACTGTATGCAGCCCATGGAAAGCCCCTAATTGAGGGTCTGTGACAAAGAGAGAAAAAAAACAAGCGTGTTGCGAGGAAAAGAGAGAGATAGAGAAAGAGAAACAGACAAAAACTTACATTACTAAGAGCCCACGGTATTGAATTGCAAAAAGAAAGAAGACAAAAGCTCGATTTGATAAAGACAATTCACAGCATCTAACAAAGACTAGATTATATTATGGACAGAGACGAAAAAAAAAACCAAACACAGTAAGATTATCCAAGCAAAGCAAGAAAAAGATGCATTATTGGAAATACAAATTGCATAGCGCAAAGTAAAAACAAGATAAAAACAAGAAGAGGAAGAAAAGGTCTCGAGAAAAAACACCTTTATCCCAATTGTGATATGATGTAGAAACAAAGAATGGTTGTTTTTTTTTTGCTTAGAAGAGATAATCGACCCCTTAGCCTCGAATATGCCTTTCCCCCCAACAGCACATCGTTTGTCTCTGTAATCGTAGCCTCATACTCCCACCATCCCTAAAATGTGTATGACAGAATCGAAGAAAGAAAAAAAACACCAATCACCACTACCATGCCTCAGAAAATGCTTGGACAAACCCCAACCGTCTACTCGTCTTCGTCGCTCTGAACCATGGACTCGGTGCCGCCACGGCTCTTGCGCCCACCCAGAGTTAGCTTGACGCGTGGCTGAGGTGTACCCGCACTCGACACTGGTCGTGTGTTGCCTGTCTCGGTCTCCCAGTCGGCGAACTCGGGATACTTGGCCGTCTCTTCGGCGAGCTTCTTGGCAGCGGTTTCNCTGCCATGTGTGTCAGTATTTGCTTTCTCGTGGAATCTTTGAGTGAAGATACATACCTCGATCAGGTTTGCATCTTGGTACAGAACACTGCCGTCCTCGTTGTAAGTTCTGCAGTTGTCGCACAGTTGCTTGATGTCCTGTCTGAATTGGCGCAGGTTTTGGTACTGCTTCTTGTTGATCTTCTTCTGGATTTGTTCCATGCAAATGGGTGTTTTGATGAGCTGGTAGTAATCAGGGTAGTGCTTCTGAGGAGGCAGCTCGATGAAGGGGTCGATAATTCCTCTGTCCGCCAAGTCAGGATCTGAAGATTTCTCTTCCAGGTCCATGAGCATGTCATGCACCGTGTCGAGAACTGCTTGCAAGTGCTCACGCTCAGTTGGTGGCAAAAGATCGGGGACCTTGGCTTGACGGCCACGCTTTCTTGGCTGCGGTGCTTCAACATCTTCTTCAGCCTTGCGTTTCTGGACTGTCTCCGGCTTGGGCTTGCGACCACGCTTCTTAGGCTGGGGAGATTCTGAGCTGGCACGAGAATCCGGTGGAGGTGTGTCATCCAGACCCTCTTCCCCACGTCCCCTCTTATCTTTGTTGCCAGCACGCCTGCTGATACGTGCCTGTTTGCGGGCAACAGCGGACTCGATATCGTCATCACTGTTGTCGACAGCTTCGAGCCATTGCTCTTCGGTAAGGCCATCGTCGTACTTGACCTTGGCACGCTCACGATTACCACGGCCCATGGCGACCTCGACAATCTCTTCGATCGGGCCTTCTTCGTTGACGTAGATGTCAGGGAGCTCCTGCTCGCACATGAGACGAGGATATTTCTTTCCAGGACCGTACTTCTGATCCCTGTAACGATCGCGATCCATTTGCTGGAAGAGCGTTAACTCATCTTCCGAGCGCATCATGATCACGTTCAGGTCATCATCGTCCATTTCCTCTTGTTCGAATGCCTCGGCTGCTTCGGCTGACTCCAGCATAACACGAAGCATCTCGTCACGCTCTTCGTTGGTCGATCTGTTGTCGAACTTACCAGCTTGAATGACTTTGCCATCCATGTCAAGCTTGTAGTTGGCACGTTCGAGAATCTTTTCTTCCACCGAGTTGGAACTGATGAGACGCAGAATGCGGACTTCGTTCTTCTGACCGATACGGTGAGCACGATCCTGGGCCTGGAGATCCTGATGAGGGTTCCAATCGGAATCATAGATGATGACGGTATCGGCAGTCTGCAAGTTCAGACCGAGACCGCCAGCGCGAGTCGACAGCAAGAAACAGAAGTAAGGCGAGTTAGGCGCATTGAAGATTCTGAGGAGCTCACTACGGTCATCAGCCTTTGTTGATCCGTCCAGACGCAGGTACTGGAGACCGCGCAGACGCAAGAAATCTTCCATGATGTTCATAATCTGTGTCATCTGGAAGAACATCAAGACACGATGGCCAGACTTCTCAAACTTGGGCAAAATTCTGTCAAGAAGCTCGAACTTTCCAGCTGTACGCCACAGTGTGTCGTTGGTTCCTCTGCCAGGATTGATCTGATCTTCTACTTCCTCGAAGACGAAGGGATGGTTGCAAAGTTTTCTCAACTGCATGAGCATGTTGCTGAGACCACGAAGACCAGTCTTTCCACCCTTGCCATCGCTGACCATAAGTCTGTTGTGAGTGAGAAGCTGTTTGTACAACTTGGCCTGAAGCGATGAGAAGTTACACTTGATGACACGTTCCTGCTTGTCAGGCAAGTCTTTCTCGACATCCTTCTTGAGACGACGCAGCAGGAAGGGTCGAAGAACCTTGTGAAGGCGACGAATGACGAGCAGCTGCTCTTCTTCTGACAACTCCATCTTGTCCTGCCCACCTGTGTTGGCGAAAGGAGTGTTGAACCACTCATCGAACGACTTGACCGATTTGAAGATGGTAGGGAGGACGAAGTTGAGCAAAGCCCACAGTTCAGGAAGGTTGTTTTGAAGAGGAGTACCAGTCAAAATCAGACGGTAGCGCGTTGTGTAGTACTGAGTAATGGTACTGCTCAGCTTCGAGTTGGCGTTCTTCATACGATGACCTTCGTCGACAATCATGTGCAGCCACTTGATCTTGCTGAGTACGGGTCTGTCCTTGATGATGAACTCGTAGGTAGTGAGCAAGACTTGGAAGTTGCCATATCTGATTTGGTTCTGGTGGGTCTTTCTTTGGGCGGGTGGTCCTTTGTAAACAATCTTTGAGACTGAGGGAGCCCATTTGTCGAACTCGTTGTTCCAGTTTGTCAACGTACTAAGCGGTACAATTACCAGGTAAGGTCCGGGCTGGCGCTTCTTCTCAATCAGGTAAGTGATCAGACTGATCGTCTGGATGGTCTTTCCAAGTCCCATCTCGTCTGCAAGGATACCATTGAGGTTGTTGTTGTAGAGCGAAATCATCCACTGGAGACCCTTGACCTGGTACTCCTTCAAGGTACCACCGACGAGCATGTTGGCTTGCTGTGTGACCTCTTCCTTGATCTTGTGGGCAACCTCGTAGTAGTCGACCTTTCTTGACTTGCCCTCGCCATCTTCTTCATCTGCGACAACTTCCTCTTCCTCTTCTTCCTCTTCGACAATTCCATATCTGCGAGCGGCACCGCGTTGCTGTTCCTTGACGGAAGCGGCAAGTTGGTCGAGGAAACCATCGGTCTGCTTGAGCAAGTGAGAAATACGGCTGTCCTTTGCCTGGCCCAGCAGCTTGAGGTAGGTCTCTTCGTCGTTGGCCTTGAGAGCTTGGAGACGTTGCTTGGCGGTTCTTTCGATGCGCTTTTGCTCTTCCTTTTCGATGTTGGAGTGTGTGGTTTGCATGAGGCGACCCAGCTTTTGGATCCTTGTTCGCTGGTTGGCAGCAGAATTCTTGAGCTCGCTGGCGTGAGATAGCACAGAGCGGAGGAAATCGTTGTGCTTCTTCTTCTCCTTGGACTCGTGAGCGTCTTGCTGTTGCTTCTCGAGCTTCTCGGTGATACGAGCTTCACGCAGAGACTGCTTCTTGATGCGGCGGTACAGGGCGCGGTTGGCAGTCATGGCGAGGTTATCTGACTGCATCATCTCGCGACTGACGGTGGCTCTCATTTGGCGCTGCTTGGGGAGCAGGGACAACATCTTGTGCTCGATAAGGGCCTTCAGCTTCAGTTTGCCGTTGTCAACAGGGACAGTCGACGAGGTCGTGTCCCACGAGCCAATGTTGGCAGGAAGCTTGTCCAATTCACTCTTGCGTGCCATGAGGCGGTTGTACAAGATGGCTTCCCTCTCTTCACGCGCTCTGTCAACATCGATACCCAAAGGCATGATGCTGGGGATGATGTGGCGCTGGTCGCGGCGGGTATGATCGAGGTATGAGATGGAAGCGGGTACGAGGGCGTGAGGGTCCTTGAAGGACTGGAAGCGGTGGGTTTTGGTGGCAGATTGGGTAGCGGGCGTAGCAGGTTTTGACGAATCGGTAGCGGCGGCCTTCTGTGACTGGAACAGGGATTCTTGAATGTTCTGCGGAATGGGCATATTCTTCTGCAGGTAGTTGAAGGCAGAGAGCTGTTGGCGCAAGGTGGTCTGCTGATCAGTAGACAAGAGTGCCTCCTTGGACACGGCTGATGAGGGCTGCTGTGGCGTGGATTGTTGAGCACCGCCATTGACCGACTGCATGGCAGCGGTGCCATTGAGACTGCCGTTCTGGTCCTGCAGGGGCTGGCCACTCTGCTGCTGGTGCTGACCTTGTTGCTGTTGGCGCTGTTGCTGCTGGGCTTGCATCTGCTGCTGTTGACGCAACTGCATCTGCCTCTTGGCCATCTCTGACTTTTGACGAGCAAATGCGATGAGTCTACCACGCTTGATTTGTTCGGGGTCTGTGTCAGGGACGCCTTGAGCCTTGGCCTGAGTATAGAGCTGNGGTGTGGTGTTAGCGACATGAGTGATGGGCAGGGGGCATGGACAGCGAACCTGATAGGTCTGTGTCAGGTACTCCTTGGTCAACTGCGGGTGGTTGGCCTGGGCATTCATGTTCATGCCGGGCTGCTGTTGCTGGACGGAAGCCATGGTCGGATAGGGCTGTTGCGCGAAGCCGTCTGGGGCCTTGGTCAATTGGTCCGGGGGCCAATTCGGCGACTGCGGTGGTCGCGGTGCTGGCGGGGTGCAGATGGGCAGAGTGGTCGGTATTAAATCGAGTCAAGAGTGATGAGGCTTGTTGGTGATGGCGGGCGTTGATGACTCGGGCTGTGGTTGGATGGGTGGACGTGTGCGAGCGGTCGCGCTCTTGCCTCGCGCGTACGGCCTGGCCAAAAGCGAAAGTGAGCGTCGGGCGTCGTGGTTGGCTGGGTCAGAATAAAACACCGTCGCGTCGACACCTTGGGATACGCGTTGCAGACAAGTTCTCGATGGCACGAAGCGGGGTGGTAATTCCGGGCGATGCTGTCGCTCGACAACCGAACCTCGCTCACTCTCCGATGGAGCCTGAAGTCGCTCCGTTCTAGTTCTTCGCCAAGCCTTGGCACCGAGCACGTGATGCCTTCTCACTTATTCCATCTGTTCACTTTTTACTTCAGTCTGTATTGTCCTCTACAAATGGAAGCTATCATGGTGGAATGTTCGGTGAGGCTGTGAAGAGCTGATGTGCTTGTTCACATGTGTGGATTCGTCATACAAAGCCCTTTGCCAAAGCTTGATCACCAGGCTTTCCATCTTGCTGTCAGGATCACCCTGGCTGACATATACCACCACCTTTCACATGCTTGAACTCGGCAGCCACGTAGAAAAGCATTGCTGTAAGGTGTGTGTATGTTGACCATGTTGCACATCAAGGTGGCTGTGAGAGATTTGGGGTATCGCGAGTCCTGCAATGTCTGGAATATATTCTCACTGGCTTTGTCGATCATTTTGCTTCACACTTCCTCACGACACAATCTAGAAATGAATGTGAGCACACGCAAGCTTACAAACTAGAAAAGAGCAAAAGCATGGGACTTTTCATTTTGCAATCACTCAAACAACCCACACAGACAAAGAAAATGTTTCGCCAACCAACCCCTATTCACAGAACTGCCCCCAAAAACACAATCCTACAACCCCCAAGTATGCTCGCAAGAGATGAATAGTGTTATCTGCACATGCATAAAGTGCAATCAGCAACCTAGTACTGTCGCGGAATGTCGGACGAACTCAAAGCGCTGCGCTTCATAGGCGGTGGTGGTGGAGGCTTCTTGGCTCTGAAATCACAAGTCAGTAAGCAGTTCGGAGATGAGCATCCGAGCATCACATACCTCGATGGTGGCGGCGGAGGAGCCAATTTCTTTGCTCCAGCGTCTTGCTGAGACCAGCTAGCAGAGCGCGAGAAACTAGGAGCAGCGTTGTAAGAGGCAGGAGAAACAGAGCGTTCGTCGACGTAGCGATCGTTGTCCAAGGCATAGTCGTCCTGATCACCAAACACGTCCGAGTTCGCACTATCATTTCTCTTGGTGGGTCTCAATCCCTGCCTAAGGGACAAAGACGAGTCGGTGGGCACACGGGACAGACGGGGCATGGAGACAGGAGAAGCATCGCGAGAGTTGAGACTTGATGGGCCCTCGAAACGGCCAGAAGGTCTGGTGGGAAGATCGAAGCCTGGTAGTTCACGGCGAGGCGAGTTGGTCCCGGAAGGTGCTCTTGCGCGGATCGGAGGGCGGAAATCGTGGACTGGCTCATCCTCATCAATTTGACGGAAAGAGGCCGAGTTTCCAGTGTTAGAGCGAGATCTAGGCACTCTACGTCCTCCTGGAACAGCCAGACCGGCACCAGCGTTACCAGAGGCACTGAGAGTTGTCAGTAAACACAAGGATCAGATGGAATTCGATATAGACGTACACGGGNNCCAGTCTCTCTTGCACTGCATAAGAATCTCTCGTGCTCTGTCGTAGTATGCCAACTCGGCATCCAGGAAGGTGGACAAGTCGTTGATGCTGTCAACTTCGGCTTCCTTGATATCCAGCATCCTGCGTTGTACGTCGTCGCTCGACTCGTCGTATTTTGCCTTTTGCGCGCGCGCAGACTCCTCCAAGGCGAAATCGTCCTTCTTTGCCTTTTGCAGCTTGTTCATCGAGGTATCGTAGGCGAGGCGGCGGGTTTCGAGTCTCTTGCGAGCAGTCTGNGACGTAGCACAGTCAGATCCATCTGCTTGCAGTGGGCACATTGGAAATGATAGACGCACCTGGTATTCTTTCATCTGGGCCAGAGATCTCTCGACCGACTCGAGCCAGCTGTTTGTGGCATTCGAGACGTAGCTCTCCTGCATGCGGGCAATCCTCTCGTTGGCTCTACCAAGGGCTGTGGCTTGTTAGTCAAACACGAACTATCGAGGTATCTGGTGCCGTCACGTACTCGAGAGGCACTGTCCGAACTCCGAGTCTGGCTCAAAGTCGTCTCCGTGACTGGCCATGGTGGATCCGAGGTAGGCGATGGGCAGCGTCTTCTCCTTGTCTTCTGCCTCCTTGGTCTTGGACAAGGACTTGACGTAGGTTGTCATACTTCTTTGCAGACGCTCCATACCTNNGCAAAGCAGTAATGTCAGTGAAGGTCCTATAGCCCCTGACAGTTGAATATGCATACCTTCGTGTCTCAATTGCATCTCGAGCTCAAGAGCCTTGAACTCGTCCGACGCAGCAGTCTTGATCTCCTTGCCCATTCTCTCATCCGTCCATTGCTTCATGCGGTCGAACCTTTTGCCGATATTCATTTTGGCGGTATTGTTGTTGTTTGTCTGCTGGGATCAGATGTGTCGTGTGAGTCTTGTATGAAAGATGGAAGCAAGTCGGCGAGCGTGCGGGAAATGAGGGCAAGCACTGGCGAGAGGGGCACTGCCGCACTGATTTGATTGCTGTGACGTGACCGAGGGACGTGGTGCAGGAAGGGAGTGGGGGCAGGAGGAAACGCGAGATGGCAGGGCTGCCGCTTCTTAAACGAATGAGACGACGGTCACTGCTGCCAGAAACGAAGGTCACTGCAAGAAAGGAAGGACCCAATTCGTTGAGCCCGCTCTCTATTGGACACAGCTGTTCCAACTTGAATGCTTCTACTTAGACTTCTCACACATAATTGAAACCATCGCTGCTGCCATCTTTCCCCAGACTCTTCCCGGTCGTCTCCACCTGTTTAGGGGGAACCGAACACACGCGTTCCTACTTTTAACCAGAGAGGTTTCCATAAGCTTTTTTTAGCCAGAGGCCAGAAGTCCATAGTTTGCAAAACACGCGACCGCCGCGCCCGCGGGCCTGTCGACAGAGACATCCTGCCGCATCTCGATCTCTTACTACTAGTCTAGCTTGTGCCTTGTTGGCAGCGCTCAACAGGAACCCAGAAGGCGCTACGTGGGGGTACATGCTCGGCCTACTTTCAACGGCCAAGTCTTTGCTGGACTTTCAATCGCGCTGGGTGCAAGTGATTATCATGTGGAGAGGCACGGCGGCTGTTCCTTCACTGGCGAAACAAGTCGACTCGCCCTTAGTCGATCCACCGTTGCCAAACTCACCTTACGACACAGGCACAGCCTTCTCCCCCCTGGCTCTGGCTTGACGCGGCCCGTCGTCTGTCGCCTGTCTGCAGCTGACGAGGACGATCTACCAACTTACGTCTCCTGCGGCTCGTCCAGAGTAGATATATCGCCTCCCTATTCACGTGTATATTCAGGACTGCAGGTGAAAAGATCTTGTGCTCATGAAACATTTTTGGACATTCCTCGATGATGCTGCCTGTGAAAAAGAAAAGCCATTTTGCTCGTGGATTTTTCTGACATTCCTGGTATCTAGCCCGGGAACAGTACAGCAAAGTAGTTGCCAGGCATCGCTCATAGTTTTTGGCAAAGTAAACGAGAATGACGACCCAACCGACCAACACTCCATTTCCCTAACCACTGATTTACTCCTTGGTCTTTTGTGTACCACGGAGCAGACCAGTTCTGCGGGCGGCAATGAGACCGGCCTTTTGACCCTGGGCGGCGTAGCGGGAGATGGTCGAGGCCTTACCGATATGCTGGTGGTTACCACCACCGTGAGGNCTGTAGACTCTGTCAGTGTGCTGTTGCTGTGCGCTTTCTCGGCTTGTCCTTACGTGATCGACGGGGTTCATGGCAACACCACGAGTCTTGGGCCATGAGTTGCGCTTGACGGCGAACTTGTGCTTAGCGCGCGAAGCCTTAAGCAGAGGCTTGTCTGTTCTGCCACCACCAGCGACAATACCGATCATGCCACGGACGCTGGACTTGACGACCTTCTTGGCGCCCGAGGGGAGCTTGACACGGGTCTTGCCCTCGTCGGGGTTGTGGCCAATAACGGTGACGTAGTTACCGGAGGTACGGCCAAGAGCACCACGGTCACCCATCTTCTCCTCGACGTTGGTGACAACGGTACCCTCGGGGCAGGATCCGAGAGGGAGGACGTTGCCGATGGTGAGGGAAGCGTTCTTGCCGGCGTAGATGAACTGGCCGGTGTACATGCCCTCGTTGGCGATGAAGGTCTCAGTGTGGAGCTTGAAGCGGTAGGGGTCACGGAAGACGACCTTGGCCAGGGGGGCACCACGGCCGGGGTCGTGGATGATCTCCTTCACGACACCGCGAACATAGCCGTGTCTCTCGGCAAAGTCGAGGGTACGGAACTGGGCGGGGGCCTTGTTGAGTCCTTTTTAGAGATCTAAGTCAGTGGGAGCGTTCGGGATTGATGCGGGCGGGCGATTGGAGATGCGTACTGGTGTTGGCCTGCGAGCAGAATGTGTCAGTACACGGATGAAAAATTCGCGACGGTTTGCGCGCTCTCGACGAGGCGGGAGGATGGANCGTACAGTGAAGATAGAGCCACGGCCCTTTCTCTGGTTGCGAATAACACGACCCTAGATGTCCTGTCAGCACATTGCGCGCTGGATTTGCTGGGTCCTGGTGGATTTTTACCATCTTGAACGTGGTTGGCGGTTCTGCTGTCGCTGGGCGTGCGAGAAATCGAAGTCGTCAAGCGCTCGAAGGTATTTCGCGAGTGCCAAGCTTGCGCTAGCGTGTGTGCGGTGCTCGGTCGGCTTTTCCCGACTATACGCCGTGCGACCATTCACTTTATTGCCATCTCTACATTACATCCATCTCATTACTTGGTGCTGCTGCTGCTGATAATACAACAAATTCTACTGCGTCGCATGTTGCATGTAATTGATACGAAGAGCTCGGTGCAAGTTCTGCCTGATGTGCACCCAGACCGCTGTCTTATGTTCAAGCTCCAGCTGGCTTCAAATGCGCACGAGTTCAAGACTGGTGTCGACCACATAGAACATGAAGTGGAGAGATCTGCTACAAGTCTTGGTGAGTATCGACTTGAATGACACGGTCCATTGATAATCTGAATCAGTCAGACACATAAGAAAAGGCTGCCTATCGACAAACAACACCTCCAGCCATGTGAAAAAACGCATCGTTGCCAGGATCAGCAATTCGAGACTATCGGCGTCAACCCAAAGGTAATGCAGACTAGGTGTTGGTATTCGAGGTGTTGCAGAATAAGTCCATCGACCAACACAACTCGGGGACGAGGCCATATGAAATCTACCTTATAGAACGGTTTCCTGGTCTTTGAACATACACCTACCTCTCATCCAGTCTTCTATCACCTCATATCCAAACACCCACAACTCCAACAATGCTCCCCATCAACGACTGTATCACCATCCAAAACCTGGTCTCTCTGATCAGAACCATGCTCGCCCTTGTTCTCCCCGTTCTGACCCACATTGGCGCTGCCACTATGGGTATGTGCGATGGCTCCTCCTGCTTAGTTGGCTAACCCGTATACAAGGATCCCTTTCTCAAATTTGGGACGAGCTCTTCGGCCCAAAGCCACTCTTCAGTGTATCCTTCGTTACCCTCGAAGGCATCATACTTGGTGAAGTCATCAATGGCATCAAGACCTTCGTTTTGCCGCCTAAGAAGCTCGAGTGGTGGGAGACGGAAGAATTCCATGCGGTCCTGGGATTTGTCGAGCTGCTGTTGGCTGTGTGGAGTCTGCGTCGCTGGCTGCGCGGTGGAAGATGATGTTGAAGACTCTGACCAACACACCTTCCAAAGTGTCTGAATGTTGGCTGCCCTGAACCAGCAACTCACCTTGACCATGCACATTACCAGTTTCATCAGGTTCTTGACAAACAAACATCACCACTGTATTATCAAAAGGCAGAAGCACTCTCGATCTCGACACACTTTCCGACACTGTTATCAGTACATTTGCTCCAGCAAACTTCCTGTATCATCCCCGATCCTGGGTGTGACGAACATCACGCTCCATCTACACCAAAACATATGTCCTGGTCTGACACGACTTTCTGAAAACAGATCAAAGATACAAGACACTACCATACCCGGCAGCTGATGCACAAACACAATGGAGTGTCGGTCAAGGAACAAGACTCTGGAAAAGGAAGCTATCAAGGATGCATCATCCCAAGTTTTGTGTACAAATGACAATATACCCAAAGTAGCGCCTCTTCATGTCTCATAGCATGGTCAGAATCTACCATCAATATCAATTGTGAATGTTCGAATCCTTCTGCAACTCGTTACAGCCCTTCTCTTCAACTGCGCTGGAATCACTGCTAACAGTGATTTTCGTGTTGTTGTCTAGCTCAAAAAAGGCATTATGGCTCAAACATAACTCAAGTAAAACAAGGGTTCAGAGATAGTAATCTAACATTGCGGAAACCCTTTCATCCCTCAGCCTTACTCAAACCAGCAGTATCAGCCTTGAGATCCAAATTCTCCCACTCGTCATCCCTAGGGAAGCCAAGATGATATCTTCCCGTGACCGCCCATTGCAGCACCGCATCATCCGCCGTCTCAAAGTCCAACACATGGCCACCTTCGGCATCCTTGCCTTGCTCAACCTCGGTCATGAAATGGCAGTGTACACCTGCCACACTAACACCTTGCATCCACTCCGGACTCGCAATGCCAAACATTGTCCCCTTGACATCCTGCAGACCCCATTTTCTCGCCTTGGCAGCAACCTCTGCAAGATCTTGCCCCTCATGTTCTTGAGGTCCTGCTATCCTCAACTGCAGCGATTTAAACCTTCCTTTGACCACAAACGGCACAAACGAATTCTTGCCTCCCTTACCCGGCCCATTTTCTTCAAACACGTTTACCAACTCTGCTTTTTTAAGTCCAGAGACGCAAACTTGGTGTTCGGGTTGGAAATTGGTGACTTGGACAAAAGGCAATGATGCTTGAGGGGAAGCGGGCTGCACTTTTCCCGAGCGAAGCATTTGCCAGGGTTTCCCGTCTAGGAAGAGGAGTTCGCCGTTCATGCGGGAGAAGGTGCCGATGCCGTGGGTGCCGTAGCCGGGGAGTTGACCGGCGGAAGGGCCCGAGTGGGCGAGACCTTGCATCAGGGCGCTCGCGGTGCTGAATTGGAATATGTCGTTTGGGATTTTGGAGACCATGGTGGTGGGTGAGAAGGGGAGTTGGCTTTTGGTGTATATTCCCTGTTGATGTTTTGGACAGGAAGAGCTTTTGGTGAGTTAGTTTGGCTTTGATGGATATGTCCGCCCAAGTGAGTTTTTTTTGCTTGTGAGAAGCTGTAGATGCACGGGTTTCTTGTCTCGTGAAGTAAAGTGGGAGTGGTTGATGGTTTTATGCCACCGTGATCTGCCTTTGTGGTCCGAAGTCCGGCTCCAAGCGTTGACGGGATTGCGACAAGGCACTGTGTTCGAGATGTCGGTTCTTGGTGATTGTTGATGATATGTCTACAATTTACAGTCACTACAACGTGATAGGCAGTCAGAGTAATAGTTGTCAGACAATATATGTGAGAGATGTTTCATTGTTCTGTTTTCTGAATGGTCATCAAGTCCATCCTCGATGATGTCAACGCTGTTGCTTTCTCCGAAGCATTTTCGGCAAACATGCCTTGCACGACCATCTTCATGGCCAACAATAAACATAATCCAAGACCAGTCGCTATCACGATAGAAGAGTGTGTTTCAACATGGCTTCAGATATCTATCTATATACTTGCATTCATTACCCCGAGTCCTTTGGCAGCGAGTTGTCTTTTTCAATCCAGCTTGCTCTACACCCTCGACTTGTTCCACTGACAACACTCATCAAACTTGACCCCGTTACCGCCAAACACATCCAACGCGCTTCCGATAGTCAAATCTACCTTTCCACCACTCAAACTCTCGACCAATTCGAGATCTTGCAAGTTGCGACCACCTCCTGCATAAGTGACAGGAATCGCTGACCAAGCGGAGAGTTTGCGAACCAGCTCTTCGTCAATACCTTGTTGCAAGCCTTCATTGTCGGCCGCGTGAATAAGAAATTCTGAGCAGTAGGGTTGAAGCAGGGAGATGGATTCTAGCATGTTCATTAGCATGCATGCACGGACAAAGGCCAGATAGATGACCAATGTGTTTTGAAGTGTCCAGGATGAGCCGGACAGCAAATGCGCAGACATACCGGCAGTCAACTCCATATCGGTAAGGTCTTGCCATTTGTTCATGGCGACAAACCATGTATCGCCTTTGCGACGGCAACTCAGATCAATGACGAGCTTCGACGTGTCGTTGTCCAGAGCCTTGAGCACTGATTGCAAGCGTTCCAAGGAGAATTTGCCAGAGGGAAAGAGGAAAGATGTGATGATGACCTTTATANNGAAACGCAATAGTCTTAGCATATACTTCTTGCACATCTGCAATACCAAATCATCCAAAACATGTTTCTTGTCGTTTGCAAGTCCCAGAGAAAGAAACATCGAAATAGCGATATGGAAGAGTAAAAGACTCACCTTGCTAGCACCCTTCTCAATCCACTCTCTGGCATTATCGTCCTTGATGCCACCACCAACCTGCAAATGTCCTGGCCAAGCTTCACAAGCCTCTCTGCAAGCGTCCTCATTCCCAGGCCCCAGCATGATCACATGGGCACCTTCCAACGCATTCTCCTTGTATAGCTTTGCATAGTAGGATGACGGCAACTTGGACGTAAAGTTTGTCTTGAGTTCAGAGGTGGTGGTTGTCAATGTGCCGCCGACGATCTGCTTTACGCTGCCCGCGTGGAGGTCTATGCAAGGGCGGAATTTGGTCATTGTGGTTTTCTTTTCTCGCTGTGACAAAGTGTGGTGTTTTTGTTGTGCTCTCTTCGGTCAAGAAGTGTGACGCACGCGTGGTTTGTGTTTTTGATGGAGAGTAGGGTGGTTTTGCAGCGAGAGAGGTGACGAAGTTTGTTGGAACTTCTCGCTTCTTGCGAAGACCTGGCTCGTGCTTTTGCTTGATCGAGACCTTGATTTCACACTGCTTCAACCACATTCGAAGGGAACCACTTCGCTTTGGCTAGTCGTGTATGCGTGGGGAGCAAAGAACTTGTGGTCGTCGAAGAAATCCAGCAAAAAGGAAGTTTTTTCTACTCGAACTATAGACTTGAACCCGTTGACTTCATGATTTAGGAGAAGCAGTAGAGAGTATTGATCAGCCTAGCACTCCTCAAGCTAAGAACTCTGTATACAGCTGTAACTGAGTTAAAAAGCAAGAAGCAAAGCAAAATCTAGCAAATGGTAACTATTTGTAGCAAATCAACAGAAAAATAGCAAATGTAGCCATCACGCATCGTGCCATCATCAATATCACGTCCTTAGCCATGTCATTTCATCAACATCAATGCAATCATTAAATGGAGATCTCTTGTACTTCAGAGCCAAGGAAACTCGGGAGAAGGCAAACGCATCTTGCGTTTGTTCGGCGGCGATGAAGGCCACGTAAGTTCTGGCGACGCCTGCAACTTTCCGAGTTGTGCTGATGGTTTCAAGGAATCGAGGTCTTGATCAGGGTCTGAGGACTTTGGCGGGCGAAATCGTGCGGATGGCTGCAGAACATCGAGGTCTTGGTCCGGACCAGAAGATCGAGGGGGCAGTTTAGAGTAGAGTGAGGTATGTGAGTAGAATAGTTTAGGCTGAGCTGCAGTGTTCAGAGGCAGTGCTTCGAAGGTCTCCGATGGTTGAGATGCTGGGCTGGCGGCTAGGACGGGGTCGTTGTCTAGCTCTTGCTCGGTAAACCGACCAGGGGTTGAGGACATATCCATCTGGTTATCATCGTATTCTTCCTGCGCTTGGAAGAACTTTGACTGGACGACTGCAGACTCAGATCGTTGACGAACAATTTGCGAAGCGCTTGGGGCAGGAATGACAATGTCGCTGGTGTCGATGTTGACGACAATGTCTCCCTTGAGTGAAGGACTTGGCTTCCAATCGCCGATGGCCATCTCGTATATGGCGTCGAATCTATCAGTGCAGATATGGTTGGTGAACCAGGAGTGCTCGAGCGCTTTCTTGGCTGTTAAGCGCTTGTCCTCTTGCAATGTGAGAAGAGAACTGACAAACTCCCTCACTCTCTTCGGCACTCCCTCCCAGCTCTGCTCGCCTTGTTCAATTTGGGTCAAGTCATAAGCGCTGACAGAGCGTGAGTTGATCTGGCCAATGTCTTGGTCGCCATCTCGGTGATTGAAGGCGAGACTGCCGGTCAACATGAGTGCACTGACGCAGTCGACTGACCAGAGGTCAATGGCACTGCTGTAGCCTTTGTTCTCTGCCATGGTGGGATTGAGCCTGTTGATCTCACTGTTCAACATTATTAGCTGGACCTGCTGATGAGATGATACCAGACTTACGGAGCTGTAAACCCGTACGTTCCACAAGTCGAGAACATGCGCGAGATCCTGCCTGGCTGACTAGTGGAAACACTAGATCGACTGATCCGCTTTGCTATTCCGAAATCAGTCAGAACGACGCGGGTGCTGCGATGCCAGGAAGACATCAGTATGTTCTCGGGCTTGATATCGCGATGTACGATGCCGTTGTCGTGCAAGTATTCAACGGCCTTGAGTAGCTGACGAGTGATGACTGCGCTCGAGGTGTCACCGAGAACACCACCTTTGTAGAAGATGTAGGAAAAGAGATCGCCGCCAGCCATGAGTTCTTGCATGATATAGCTATGTGTCAGACAAGTTAGCATGGCGTCTCTGAGTTGAGATTCACAGGCACAACTGACATGTGGTGAGTCGCGATGAACACTTTCCTTATGTCAATGATGTTTGGCTGCCCAGAGTCAGTACTACCTCAACCTGAAGACAAGAGACAGCGTACGTGATTGAGATCCTTGAGAATCTCATACTCAACCTCGAGACGGTGTATCTTGCGAAGCAGCTTGATGGATTGCATCCTCGAAGCGCGGTTGGATGCGGCTTGGATTGAGGCCTCATTTGCATCTTGGTCGCCTTTCAGGTCGACACCGGCCAAAGAGACAACTTTGCACGCTACTTGTTGACCAGCGCTACGATCGCATGCAACAAAAACTTGACCTTGACCACCAGCACCGATGAGACGAGGATGAATGGTAAAGTCTTGTTGAAAACGCTGTTTGTGGGGTGAGTACCTCACAGTGGCTCATGCACAGAGAGCCGACCTACCTTGACTTCACAGTCCATGATGAACGACATGTTGAGCTCACTGTTGGAATTGAGCTCGTGGTACTGCACAAAGGTTGATTTTGAGAGGTGTAGACAATCACCGTCTCGAAGAAGCACAGGGCCCAATGACTTGGTAAGTTGATGATCAAGTCGGACTGTTGATCCATCTTCAGCGGCACATTCACGAGCGAGTGTGGTCCCATTTGTAGACAGATCTTCGGCATAGACCATGGGAGCAACGTTCCAGGCTGCTGCGTCTTCGTCGAACTGCACACATCGAAGGACCAGATGGTGGTAGGATACTTGTTGGTCGTAATCATCGACAAGCCTAGGAAGTTGAGCACATTACCAAAGTTCGTGACTGAGTAGCAGCATACTGTTGAAGTTGCCTACATCCCAGCTGGATCTCTTGTTTGGGCCAGATACTCATTGCATCTAGACGGCAGAATGAGGAAGAATGAGCATGAGAAACGATACTCGATCACATACCTTCGAACACGATACGACGTCGTTGGTTGACAAAGGTCAAGGTGCCGACACAAAGCTGCTCGGCCATAATACTCGGTCTCAATCCATAGACGACGACAAAAGTGAATGCGGTCTGACAAAGAGTGATGTAGTCTCGAGGAGTGCCGTTGGATAAACGTCGGGTAGCGGGGCTCTTGGCAGTTCGGCAAGTCCCGCCGCACCAGCTCCGCTGCACTGTCAATTTGAACTGAACTTCGAGCTGAGCTTCCCTCTCTTTCCTCATCACCGCACACTCATCTCGACACTACTGTAAGTTTTTACCAGGCATCGCACACTCAATTGCCTTGATTGACACTGACTGTCCATCACAGGCCAAGATGAGAGCCAAGTGGAGAAAGAAGAGAGTTCGCAGACTGAAGCGCAAGAGAAGAAAGACGAGAGCCAGATCGTGAGTTCCTTCATCTTCACCACTGCCTCTGCGCGCAATGCATGCTAACCGCTTCGATTACAGCAAGTAAATGATTCGCCCCGACAACTCGATCATCACGGCTCCTTGACATCAAAAACATGTCCACAACTACATCTTAACGCCCACCACTGAACGTCGACAAACGCACCTTACTACTCGCGACGATCTCTGGAGGGCCACTACCTTTTTCTCACACACCTTGTCGGATTCGCTCGCATGTGTTTTCGCCATCTTTGCAGCCGACTTATCCAGGTTAGCTCGGAGGGCGCACATGTTGGCAGCTTGAAGCTGAGGAGGGAAGAATTTCCAAGTGTTGATGTTCTTGCTGCGTTCGCGACGGAGGAGTCGGTCAATTCTTTTCACTCGAGCTATCACTTATGGAGTGCTTCATTGCCTGGCAATTGGAAGGTTCTCTTTACTTCTCTAACACCGGTGTTATGCCTCGTAAGCTGCACCTTTGGGATCTGAAGAGCCTTACCGTTTGCGGTTGGCTGTTCTGCCAAAATCAGAAAACTGCTATTCGCAAAAAAAAAACTGTGCCTTTTTCTCTCCGTGCAAATGTGATGTGACATGTCTACAATCAAGCTGTCCTTGCTTCCATGCGCAGCCGACTTTACTCTTGTTGGTACGAATATGCGCAATGTGTTTCTCTCCAACCCGCGTGACGATGGATGGTCGTGTGCTGTATATCGATCTGCACGCTCCCCTGTTCGCCGAACATTTTTTTTTCTCCTTCATCAAGCTTGCGACCTTGATGGTTCCACAGTGCTGACATACCCGCGATCGGTCCGACTATCGCATAAAACAATCCTCCCTTGCTTGCTTGACCTCTGCACGTCATGGGCTACTCTATTTCACGATAATGGATACTCGTATATACCTTTTCTGATCCAGTATCCCAAAACTAAACATTTCGCCATACCGCCATCTCGTCAAGAGCGAGGTTCTCCGTTGTGGATATGGAGCTTTATGTCTCACCATCTGTTATGCACTTATATGCCGTTTGACAACTGCTTTGTTTTTGAGGTCATATGATGTGCCAAGGGTGGTTTTTCGTTTTCGTTATTTTCTTGTCAGGTCATTGGGTAGGCATGGGTAAGAGTTTAGACGGGTGTAAGTGTATTTTTTGGTGGAAGCAGCTCGTGGGGATTGAAGTCAGCATGATGAGGAGAAAGTGCAAGAATGGGAAAAAGAGAAACAGGCTACTTCTTGTGGTCAATCTTTGATCACGCTCATGCGAAAAAGCCCATACCGTTGAGCAAGACACACAACTTCTACAAAGTATACATCTAGCACGACAGCAATTCTCGAGAAAGCCGCAGAGCGACACAAAAAGAGCTGGAAAAGCAATGCACCTTCACCATTCCCGCCACAATAGCGGCGCCAGCATCGCCAAACACGCAAAGAGCACTTGCAGCACGTCAATCACCTCCAGAAACACCTCTACCACAAGCTCCACCGCCTACGATGAAACCAGCTCATTGTTGCCTCACGAGCAGTCCCCTTTACTTCCTCCTCTGGCCACACACCCACAGCTACGATATGCTTCTCAAGCATCTTCTACAGCAACAGCATCTCTACACCACATTCTCACACTGCATCCCCGCCAAATCGCATACTTGGAGCAAGCACGTGCAGAAGAAGATGCTGCCGCTGCTGCAGAACAAGAAGAGGAAGACACAGAGCAAGGCATGAATAGACATGTTCTCAGCCGCATCGACTGCATAGAAATCGATCTCTGGCACGAACGTATCCGCGACTACGAAGCCGCTGAACTAGGGCTAGTTTCCGCCGCCGAGTTGGGGTTAATTCGTGAAGAGCAAGAGCAGAGAGATATGAGGGTTGAAGTGGAAGAAGGGGATGGAGAAAGATTGAGTAGGGTACACACCTACGTCAACGATTTTGCAGACGTAGAAGCAGGGCAACCATCAAGAAAAAGAAAAACTCAGCAGTATCGCTGGCAACAGGTTTGGATCTGTGAGTTTGTCGTTAAATCACTTTCATCGCTATTTCTGGGTTGATGTGGTGGGTGTTTGCCTGTTGATCTTGCTGGTGCTGGGGGCTCTGGTGTTTGTTGGATTTGAGATTAGGTATGACAGAGAGGGTATTTGTGGTGGGAGTAGAGGACTGGGTGCGCCAGGGTTTTGGGTCGCGGTGCAGATGCTTGTGGCACTGGGGATGGGGTTGATGTTGCAGGTCCCAGTGCATAGAGGTCTGGTACCTTTCATGTTGCCTTTGTGGGTGATTGGCACGTTTGGGACTGTGATTGGGTTCAAGATGATGGCTGGATGTTTGGGAGGATGATATGGGAGTTTGATGGGTACAGGCGTGGGCACATGTTTTGGAGGAGATGATGGAGATGTGTGAGATACTCTTGAGGATAGCGAATGGCTACCATGCATAAAAGAGCCTTGTAGGGATTGACGAGTCACAGCACGTAGACAAGAAGTTCTTGTGCGTCAACATTGTCAAGCACATCGCTAGCCGATCGTACCAAAGTCTTATAGATGGTCATAAGCCGATCCTCTCGATCAGCCACACACCTACCTAGACAGTGTTGTTGAGCATGGAGATCGAAATGAGGATGACCGAAGAGACAATAAAGAATTCACAGAGTTGAAAATACAACCGGCTCCTTGGCCTATCAGAACGAGCAGTTGCGTGTTGCGTGGTAAGTTTATAACGAGCAGACAGTTGCGTGTTGCGTGGTGAGTTGAGAATGATCGAGGCTCCCAGCCTCATGACGAGTCGTTGCCGCGAATTCTCGATGGACGATGGTCGAGGGACACGACTCTTGCAGACCAAGCCAGAATTGCGGGATTGTCAAAGTCAAATCCTTCCCGACCGAGATGCAGAAAGTGTGTCTGTAGTTTGGATAGAGGTCAGAGGAGCACGAGATGATTCGTGGAATCGTGTATTGAACAAATCTCCCAGTCGTTTGGCGAGATGGAGTGTCAGCAAAATATATTGAAGCTTGGCTCAAATGGCAGGTCCGGAGCGGTCGGGTGGGGTTGGAACGGGCACAGTTTTGTGCAATGGCTGGTTTCGGAGACCGAGCTCTGGCGGTTGCAATCTTATCGTCGGCAAAAAAGAAAAGTTCCAACGGGGATACATGAGAACTTGCCAGATGTATGATCGAGAGAAAAGGCGAGCAATGCTGCTGCGAATTGACGGTCGCGAGGAACACTAAGGGGTTGTTCATGTTGCAGCGATCTGAGCAGAGGGTCGGTTGTTGTTGTGTGTCAGACTGAGACTCGTGTCAGTTCAGGCAGGCGCTGTGCTCTTGCTTCTGACGAGGCTGAAACGCGCTTGGGACAGAGGCCGGGGCAATGATTCGCGGAAAGCGCGTCCCTGGTCGGACTGGTCCTCTGCAAGCAGTGAGCAGTGACATTTTTCGCCGTCTGGCTGGCGTGTGGAAGAACATGTGACGGCTTGGGTTGTCGTCCGGTATCACAGGCTGGCCTTGAAACGAACAAAGCATGTTTGACCCAACCCAGCGCTCCTGTCTCTGACACTCGCAACTTCTGTGGCCTCGAGCACTCGCAGCCTCGCTAGCCGGACGCCACTACCTTGTTCTCTTAACCACAGGCTGCGGCTGATGTTAGACTCACCTACTCGTAGCACTACCCATCGGATGTAGACTGTCCCTGGAAAGTACATGCTCCCCGTACCGACCGCCATCCCGCCAACATCGACATCTCATTCTCCCTCTCAACCTTGACTTTGGACGTGCAGCTTCCTTGCAACAAGTCCCATTATCACACCCGACCATGAAGGCAAAGCAGCTGGCCCTGGGCCTGGCGCATCNNTTGTAGGCCTCACTCTAATCACACTCAATCTCAATGCCTGACACTTGCCTGCAGATTGGCCCGAACAAAGCAGATGATCGTATGCCCTCGTCAACCCCCAAAGAGAGTCCACCACCGTCGCCATATCCCGGACGTCGGACTGCTCTATCGGCCAAGGTCGAATCCGATCTGCGTCTAGCCTGTGCCGGAGTCCTGGTCAACACCAAGCCTTCACATCAATATGCCCCACCCGAGGCTCTGGCTGCCGCTCTGAGAGAAGAACCCAAGCAAGCACTCGACTACGACGCCATCAGGAGATCTGCCTCGACCCGCAAGTCACTAGACTCTCGACCTTTCCCTCCCCGTACCGACTCGGCCGACGACAAGAACCCTCTCAGATATGCATACCGTCCAGATGCTCCCATCGATCAGCTCTTCAACAAGTCGGATCCCACTGTTGACCCTGTCCAGTCCATCCTCGGCAAGGCCAAGCATGACATGCCAACGGGTAGCCGTGCAAAGACTCCGGTACCCAACAGTGTTCTCTCTCCCGTCAGTGACGCCGCTACACGTCCCCGTGTCGCCAAGCGCTCCATCTCTGGCGAGACCGGTGGCTCCACGCCCATCACAGATACAGCAGAGTACCATTGGAGTACCTCTACAGCCCCTACCTCGGCCGCCATCACACCTGCACGTACCTCAAAGCGAGATTCTTCCCACATAATGCCTGTCGAGACGGAGCACGCCATCAAGAACGATGCTACCGCCATTGAGTGGATGCGCAAAGAACTTGAACGTCGCCGTCAGAAACAAGCTGCCGAAGAAGAACAAGCACAAGCCGCAATGCAGCCATTGTCTCGCGCTCCTAGCAGGGCACGAAGCATTCGAAGCCTTCGCGACAACATCAAAGAATACATCCGTCCATCCAGCTCCAACGGGAACAACAGCCGACCACCTAGCAGGTCTGCTTCGCGCGCATCACAACGTTCGGAGTCAAAGTCACAAGATCCAGAGATACGCGGTGGCTGGAGAAGCTGGGGGCGAACTCTGAAGAAGGAGCACGCCCAAACCGATGTCAGCAGATCGAACTCGAGAAGAGGAAGAACAGGCGGTAGCCCTAGTCTCCCGAACTCGAAAAAGTCCGAGATCAACCTGAACCGCGAGCTGCCTCCGCTTCCCAGTCTCGACCAGTGGAAGGATGATGCGGTTGCACCTCCGACACGACATGCACCTCAAGCGCCCGTACCTACACATCGTCCTGCCCAGAAATCGGTCGACAGTGTGATGTCCGAAAAGGATGAAATCATTGCAATTCGCCTCGGTTCGCCAGTCAAGGATAAGCCAGAAGTGTACATGCCTACTCGATCTCCGCGTTACGCTGCAGCTACCAAGATGCCACACCTTGGATCCGCTCACACCAGCGATAACCTTCTCCCACGCAGCACGTCTGCACTTCGAGAGCGGACTCCAGAGCCTACATTATCAACCGTGCGAGCAATCTCTTCCCAACAAGAAGCCAAATACATGAGTTCGCGTACGCGATCACCAAGCAATCCGGCATATTCTGTGTCCCCTGGATTCTCCGAGCACCGCAACTACGACAGCTCGAGTATACCCACCCCACTGGGTAGCATCAGCAGCACTTCCACCAGGAACAAATCAAAATCACGAGACAAGGCACCCAGTAAGCAAGAGAAATCTCGCCAGCTGAAGGGTGTACAAGTTCGATCTCCACCACCAGTGCCACCAAAGGAAGTCGTCGACAAAAAGGCATGGTGGAACCTCAAAGCAAAGAACAAGAAACCTCCAACCTGGATGGATCAGCTGGAGAAGATGGGTGGAGTCAAAGACGGCATCCTCATACCCGACGACGGCTGTGACTTTCCACACATTCGTTACTGAGGAAAGTCGCACAGGGAAAATTGCATCAGCAGGCTTAACGCATTTATGACTACAAAACATACTCACACTCTGCTTTCATCGAGGGTTCTGGCGCAAGAGGGTGGTTAATCTCGAAGCGTGTCATGGTTTTTGAGCAGGGGGAGAGCCGCAGTCCAAGGTTCTTCATTTCGAGTGTTTTTCTTTCGGCGTTTTTATCATTGATCATTGATTGTCTTTTTGCCCTTTCACGCAAACTGCCTGTCATCATTCTTAGCCCATTCCTCATACCCCCACCTATCAGACGAGGACATCAATTGCATCTGACTCGTTACTATCACGAAAGCAAAATCAACCCTGCCTTTCTACTCATCAGTGATGCGGTCAAAACAAACCTGCTCTGCTCATCTCATCAACATGGTTTTACACAATTGAACCTCTGAGATATTTCCCACATCCCGCAATCCCTTCCCTCAATGCACAGAAACACATGGCCCCTTTTTTCTGGGGCCCTTTCACACATTTCAAGATTGTTCTTTCTAACAGACACTTGGGGTTTTTTTGTGTCTCCCAATCTTGCTTTTTTTTTATATATATCTTTTCTGCGCCTTTTTCCGCTTTCTACTACTTTCTTGAGTCGTGGGTTTGAGGGAAAACTTCTGGGGTTTGCATCTGTGTGTGTGTGTGTGTGTATACAAAAGAAAAAGGCCCGCCTCTTGTTTTTAAAAAAAAGTAAATAGCAGAATGAGTATATCATCAACAAAAATCGATAAGTGATGCAAGTGTGCACAGCTAAAGACTTATTGCAAAGGACTTTGTTTCAGATCTCATCGCCTTGAGAGATTCGGAGAAAAAAAATTGTGTATGGGAAAACAGATGTTCACGAGACAAGAGTTTGCGTTCAAAAGATTTCATCATGTTCCTCTTTCTTCGTGCCCCCCTAATCTCGATATAGCAAAGCCAAAAGGCAAACGCGCATTGTTGATGCTCATTGATCCATGAATACTCCTGCCAACCTCCCCAAAGTTCTTTTGTAAAAACCCACGCTGGCAAAAAAAAAAAAAGAGGGGGAATATAATGTAATGCCCGCAGACCTCCCAAGAAAACAACTCCAGAATTGACGGAAGAAAAAACAGATGCAGACGAGACGGGTGTTAACTTACATGCCACCATTGGTCTGCTGGTCGGGCATGCTGGCTGCAGGCAACGGTGCGGGAGGTGGGTGAGCATGGTAGGTCTTCTGGACGGGGACCTCAAAGTCCATAGAGTCGACTGCTGCAGGGTGTTCCGGTGCAGGTGGTGCAGGTGCAAGCTCGTCCTTGGTTGAAAGGTTTTCGAGATCCTGCCGGGCGACTGAAACTCGAGAGATGTCTGCAATGGGCGGTGGTTTCTCCTCCACGGGTGCAGTCTCTGTCTTTACTGGCTCTTGAGGTTTCCTGACCTTGAGCTTGACGATAAGACTTCTCTTTGCGTCCTGGTCAAGATCCATATCATCCTCATCTTCTCCGTCGGCCATGTCAACGTCGTCTTCCTCATTATCGTCATCGTCGTCGCCCCCGTCCCATTCATTTCCACTGGAGGGCGCATCATCCTCGTCGCTGTCTTCGTCCATGGAGTTGTATCCTCGTGACTTTCTCTTGCGGTCCTCATTTAGCGGCGAGAGACGAGTGCTGTTTCTCGTTGCTCTTCCAGAAGTGCGCGAAGTCTCCGAAGCGGCATAATCAGGTGTTTCGGCTTGACCGCTAAGCAGCGATTCGCCATATATACCGGTTCTTGCAGGACGGACTTGACGACCGCTGGCTGTCACGACTGGACCCGAATCGGCGGGGGTAGAATGGCCAGAATGCCTTGCGGAGCGACGTGAGCCTGTGGCGTCGGACTCGTCTTCGTTGTCGGAGTATGTGTAGCGGATGCGCTTGCCGCGAGTGCGACCTTCGTAGAGTGAGAAACCGAGTTCGGGCTTGGTAAACTGCGCCTTGCGCGCTTGGCGGTATTCGCGACGTCTGCGTTTCTGCAAATGGGTCAGCATACATGTGTAGAAGGTGATTCTGCGCACACTCACCTCCTCAGATGCCTCAAATCGTGGCACAGCGGCCTTAACCTTGTCAGCCAGACGGCGAGCAGCTTGAGTGGTGTCTTTGGTCTCGAGCTTCTCTGCAAGGGCATTGACCTCGTCAATGGTTTCAGCAACACTCCACCATTGAGGGTGTTGGCTGAGACGATTGGATTCGCGGTATACACGGAAGCTGGTGTCTTCTTGCCCCTCGATCAAATAGTACTTTCTTTTGTCGCCGTCATAACCCCAATGCTGGACTGACAACGGTTGGTTGATGTCGTCTTCGCGGCGTGAAATCTTGTACGAGTCTTTGATGGTTTGTGAGACAATTTCGGATGACGTGAGCGACCAGATTGCGAGAGTGCGGAGCAGGTTCAGACGTTCGGCGGGCGACATGTCGGGGAAGGTTCTGCTGCCGGCGAGAGGATTGACACGATTCCATGACAGCGGCCATTGGTGTTTCTGTGTCGACAAAGCTTCTTCCATTGCGCGACCGTGATGGCCGCGTCTGCCTGAGTGTCAGTGCTGTGTTGAGTCAAGGCGGGATGTGCCTGAGACTCACTCAACGGGCTTCTTGCGGTTCAGGACCAGTGCGAGCATGGCGCACATCAACTCTTCAACTTGGGGCGACGGAGGAGATTCGGCGACACCTCTCTCGATGTCTTGGGGACCGAGATGGGCCAGTTTCGACGAGAATGCATGGCTGAAGCGAGATCGGAACATGACAAGGAANCTGGTCAGTCCTACGTTAGCATGTGTGCCATGTCGTGTTGGCACGCGTGTATGGTGAGGTCAACATACGGCGACATCAGGATTGTCCGCTAGAGACTCCTCGTGGGGTGGAGACGGAGATCGCTTGGGTCGCGGCGGTGAGGGCGGAGTGGGAGGAGTAACAGGAGCCTTCTTCTTTCTGGGAGCGGCCTTCTTGCCCTTTGCCATTTTTGCGAAGATGGGAGCGAGCGGCTTCTCGTCGTCGGTCGGGGGTGCCGAAGAGAGGCTGGAAGAGTCAGAGTCGTCCATGATGCGCCGTGATTGTTGCCTTGATAATTCTGGTCAAAGGGTCGCATCAAAGTGAAGGCAGGAGCGCGTCGAGTGCGCGTGTCTGGGGAAACTTGTAATGGGCTTCGTTAGCGTCACTGGGGACGTGGTCAATGCACTTGCTCTGTCTACATGCATTACATCTACCAACATTACTGTCTGAGTAGGATCCTTTATTGATCTGTGGTAGTTCATGTCTCGTATAGGTTACGTGAAAGTCAAAGGTCAAGATAGGAGTCGCTGAGATGTATCTTATGAAGGCGTGATGACAGTGGTTGGCTTAACAGACGGTTCTCCAAATCGATGTCTCAAGCATTGTAGTCTTCTTGGGCAATAGTGACTGTATACACATATATATAGCAAAGCAACACCAACTAGACCCTCTCTGAATCAGTCGAGTCTCTGGGAACTGATGTCTGGTTCCTCGGATATAAAGTGCACGTGTATGAACGCAAATGAAATTCGTCCAACGTTGCCGTGCCTATCACCCTGCTCGAAAACCACGAGGCCACGACTCTCAGTAAAGAAGTACGTGGTCTTGCACACAATATTGCCAGTGATTTCCAGAATTTGAGATAGGTAGATACTCGATTGAGTTGGGTAATTCGGCCAAGTTTCAAGAGACACATTGAGGTGGTGTTGGTCTTGGTCCTGACCAAATGGGCGGAAGAGCTCGTATCAGCTCAACTCGACTCCCCACTCGATTGACTTTTATGCAAGCCATGGTTGTCTGGCTCGTGGAGCTGTCGAAAAGGAGGTGGCGCTCTAGTTATGTCGAGTCCTCGCAGAGCTGCAGAGAAGCTGCTCGGACGGGACTGAGCGGCAGCAGCCAGGTAGTCTGCGGTCAAGACGACTACCAAGCCTTGAAGTACGAGAAAGGCCGATGTCGCTGGAGAGGGGTTTGGGGTGTGTCGGAGTGGCATCTCGAAGGCGTGGAAGAGGTAGGAGATGTATGCTCACTGAGAACCTAGCATGCAGCCTGCATAGATCGGCGTGAGATGATATTGATGGACGAAGGAAGCAGCGCTGGAGGTGGATGTTCAGGGTTCAGGCGGAGAGGTTCCTAGCCGATTGGATGGATTTGCACCTCCTGAGTGCATGAGGAAGTCGCAGCCGGGCGCAAGCGTGCCTGCTACGCGCAACGCTTCAGAACGAGGCAGGCCACAGCTACACAGCCCATTGCTATTTTCATCTCGCCGTGCTTCTAGCATTCATGCCCTCGCAATACCACCCGCATTGCTGTTGACCTGCTACTCGTCACGCCCCGACCGCCTCGTCTCTGCTCCGGAAGCCTTGCCGCCGTCTACCGAATGGTCGCATCTGCCTCGCTGACCCCGTATTGACCCGCGAGCCACCTCTCGAATACCCTCTCCTCGACGCGACTGCCAGCAATCGCGCGCGCATTGCCGACACTTTCTTCCAACAACCATGGCCGGGAGACCTCATGGTCAGCCGTCTCCGTCTGCCAACTCAGACCTCCTACTGGACTTGGACGACCAGCCTATCTACAATTCTGGCAAGCCCCCACCAACCGATGACGATCACCTGCTCCTACACCACAACATAGACTCCTCCGATGCGCCTCGTGCCTCGACCAGCTACGATGATTTCGTGGGCTCCTCTTCGACAGCTGGTCTGCCGGGAGGCCCTGGTGCCCCGAGTACCGCTGGCCTACACGTTCCCATGCACGATACGATAGGAAGACAATACTCTCAAACCTCGGATCTGAACAACTACCAACCTTATTCAGATCTTGACGACCTTCCGGATGACAGGGACTACTACGCAGCCGGAGGAGGTGTTGATGAGGACAATATGCCAGGCTTGCATGAATCACGTTTCACCAGCCATGGCCGCAACAGAAATAGCATAATGGGAATTGGAGGAAGCATTGTTGATCGCGCCAAGAACATGTTCGGTGCCAACGCTGGTGGCTACTCAGAAATGGATCTGCCCTTGACTGAAACTGGTGCTCGGTCATCCCACATCGCATCTGGTGGTGTTGATGCTTTGCCGTCCGCCCCTCCAACTCCGAAGCGCACACCGGGTGCCAAATTCAAGTTTGGCCTTGGTCGTTCAGGTCCGGATCCAAACGCTGCTGGCCCTCGCATAATTCATCTCAACAATCCTCCTGCAAATGCTGCCAACAAGTACGTGGACAACCATGTCTCGACCTCCAAGTACAACTTTGCAACCTTTTTGCCAAAGTTTTTGTTTGAGCAGTTCTCCAAATATGCCAATTTGTTCTTCTTGTTCACGGCAATCCTGCAACAAATTCCCGGTGTCTCTCCCACAAGTAGGTATACCACTATCGTGCCATTAGGAATCGTACTCTTGGTCTCAGCTGGTAAGGAAATGGTCGAGGACTCGCGCAGAAAGTCTCAGGACAAACAGCTCAACACCTCAAAAGCCCGTGTGTTACGAGGCTCGACTTTCCAGGACAGCAACTGGATCAACATAGCAGTCGGCGATGTCGTTCGTGTAGAGTCCGAAGAGCCATTCCCGGCCGACCTTGTCCTGCTCGCCAGTTCGGAACCTGAGGGATTATGCTACATTGAGACTGCGAACCTCGATGGTGAGACAAACTTGAAGATCAAACAAGCCATTCCAGAGACTGCCAACCTTGTCAGTCCTGCCGATATCAGCAGACTTGGTGGTAGAATCCGCTCCGAGTCTCCCAACAGCAGCCTTTACACATACGAGGCGACTATGACGATGCAATCTGGTGGCGGTGAGAAGGAACTGCCTTTGAATCCCGAGCAACTTCTCCTGCGTGGCGCTACTTTGAGAAACACGCCCTGGGTGCATGGAATTGTCGTTTTCACGGGCCATGAGACAAAGCTCATGCGTAACGCTACCGCTACTCCGATCAAGAAGACCGCTGTCGAGCGTTTGGTGAATGTGCAAATCCTTATGCTCGGTGGTATTCTGGTCACTCTGAGTATCATCAGTTCCATCGGTGACCTCACGATGCGTGCCACCTCAGGCAAGAAGATGTGGTACCTAGCTTATACGCCTGTCAATGGCGGAAAGCAGTTCTTCAGTGATTTCTTCACTAATTGGGTGCTGTACTCGAACTTGGTACCTATTTCGCTTTTCGTTACCATCGAAATCATCAAATACTGGCAAGCCATTCTCATCAGCTCAGATCTTGACATTTATTACGACAAAACGGATACACCCGCTAATTGCAGAACGTCCTCTTTGGTCGAAGAATTGGGTCAGGTCGAATACATCTTTTCCGACAAAACTGGTACTCTCACATGTAACATGATGGAGTTTAGACAAAGCTCAATCGCCGGAATACAGTATGCCGATGAAGTCCCCGAGGACAGAAGAGCGACTGGAGAGGACGGCGATATGGGAATATTCGACTTCACCCGTTTGGAGCACAACCGAAGGAACCATCCATCTGCCGAGATTATCAACCAGTTTTTGACCTTGTTGTCTACTTGTCATACCGTCATCCCCGAAACGAGCGCCGAGAAGGGTGGTAAAATTAAGTATCAAGCAGCTTCACCCGATGAAGGTGCTTTGGTAGAAGGTGCTGTCACGCTCGGATACAAATTCGTCGCACGCAAACCGCGCTCAGTCATGATTGAGGTCTCCGGAGAACAGTCCGAATACGAATTACTGGCTGTCTGCGAGTTCAACTCCACCAGAAAGCGTATGTCGACCATCTTTAGATGTCCTGACGGCAAGATCAGATGCTACTGCAAAGGTGCCGATACTGTCATCCTGGAACGTTTAGGTGGTGACAACCCATTCGTCGAGGCGACGCTACAACACCTTGAGGAGTATGCTGCAGAAGGCCTGAGAACCTTGTGTCTCGCTATGCGCGAGGTCCCAGAAGATGAGTTTAGACAATGGCAACGAGTCTTCAACGAAGCTGCGACCACTGTTGGCGGCAATCGTGCTGATGAAATGGACAAGGCAGCCGAGCTTATTGAGCACGACTTCACACTGCTCGGCGCTACAGCTATTGAAGACAAGCTGCAGGACGGTGTCCCAGACACTATCCACACCTTACAGACGGCTGGCATCAAGATTTGGGTCTTGACCGGAGACAGACAAGAAACTGCCATCAACATTGGCATGAGTTGTAAGCTGATCAGCGAGGACATGACTCTTCTCATTATCAATGAAGAGACTGCAGCCGCTACTAGGGACAACCTGCAAAAAAAGATGAGTGCTGTGCAAAGTCAATTCCAGGCTGGTATTACAATCGAAACTCTGGCACTTGTCATTGATGGAAAATCTCTCACGTTTGCACTCGAGAAAGACATGGAGAAGCTCTTCTTGGACCTGGCTGTTATGTGCAAAGCTGTTATATGCTGGTACGTATTTTTGTTTTCACCATGGACAACACCTGCTGACCATCTATNNAGTCGTGTCTCACCGCTTCAAAAAGCACTTGTTGTCAAGCTGGTCAAGCGCCACAAGAAAGCCATTCTCCTAGCCATTGGTGACGGTGCCAATGATGTTTCCATGATTCAAGCTGCGCACATTGGTATCGGTATCTCAGGTGTTGAAGGTCTTCAAGCAGCACGTTCAGCCGATGTTTCGATTGCGCAATTTCGGTACCTCCGCAAGCTGTTGCTCGTCCACGGAGCCTGGTCATATCAAAGAATCTCCAAAATGATCTTGTACTTCTACTACAAGAACACGGCACTTTTCATGACCCAATTCTGGTACTCTTTCCAAAATGGCTTCTCTGGAGAAGTCATCTTCGAATCTTGGACGATGAGTTTCTACAACGTCCTCTTTACAGTCATGCCTCCCTTTGTTCTTGGTATCTTTGACCAGTACGTTTCAGCTCGTTTGCTCGATCGATACCCTCAACTCTACCAACTCAGTCAGAAGGGTGTGTTCTTCAGAATGCATTCCTTCTTCAGCTGGGTAGCAAACGGCTTCTACCACTCTCTCATCCTTTACTTTGTCTCTGAGCTTATCTGGTTGTGGGATGCACCGCAAAGCGATGGCAAGATTGCTGGACACTGGGTTTGGGGAACGGCTCTCTACACAGCAGGTCTCATCACTACCCTTGGTAAAGCAGCTCTCATCACCAATCTGTGGACCAAATACACTGTGATTGCGATACCTGGCAGTCTTGCAGTCTGGTTCATCTTCTTGCCCATCTACGCGACTGTTGCACCCAAGCTCGGATTCAGCATGGAGTATGCCGGCGTTGTTCCAAGACTGTTCCCCAGTCTTACATTCTGGTTGACGATTATTGTTCTTCCCGTCCTTTGCCTTCTTAGAGATTACGCCTGGAAGTATGCCAAGCGCATGTACTATCCTCAAGCGTACCATCACGTTCAGGAAATCCAGAAGTACAACATCCAGGATTACCGACCAAGGTGTGTATTTCCCTTCTTGTTCGCATTACCGAGGCCCACTGACATCAAAATANGGATGGAGCAATTCCAAAAGGCAATTCGCAAAGTTCGTCAAGTACAGCGCATGCGCAAACAGCGTGGTTACGCCTTTTCGCAAACCGATGAATCGCAAGCCAGAGTGTTGCAGGCTTACGATACGACGAGAGAAAGAGGAAGATATGGTGAGATGGCAAGTAGCAGGGACTAAACGCCATCAGGTTCGTGTTTATATGCATTTGTATGGGATACGAAATTCAAGTTCTCTCACTCCTGAACCTTCTCTCCCACCTTGACGCACATGTCACAGAATTTCGCGTTTCAAACTCGTTATTCCGGATCCAATGCAGAGTTGAATTTAAAGCTATAGGAGTGCACAATATACTCTGATTCTGAGGTAAGTCCACAGAGAGGGTCGAGGAAACTGATTTACAGGTACTGACATCTGCAATCCTTGTCTACTGCGACTCTCAACTCAGCATATGCCGCATTTTAAAGCTACAGAAATGCACGATAGTCTTCACTCCAAGCATGTGTCCACAGAGAGCCTCTAGGGACGATGGATCTCGATGGCAGCTCTTTGGCTATCAAGGGTTATTGTGCATTTTTGATAGCTATTTTCTACAATATCTTGCACTTGGGAGATGCAGTCGCTCTTCAGATCCCCGATCCGACGCAAATCAATTTCTACGCTATCGAAATACACAATCATCTCATACCTGGGTACGTATACAGAGAGAGCATGGGAAGACGCCGGCTCTCAGTGGACAATACTCTTTCTTTGGACGCTACTCTGCATTTGTATAGGTATATGCTACAAGACATCTTCATGTGAGATTGGCTTGAGGAACTTTGTCTCGCTGGACTTTGCGACTGGATAATCGGCTATAGGAATGCAGAGTAGCGTCCAGAGAAAGCTCATAGATCAACGACTCTCCGTGGACACTGCCCTCTCTCTTCACGCTACTCTGCATTTCTATAGCTCCATACCACACGACATTCCCCTATGAGATGCTCTTGAAAAACTACATCTCGCTGGACTTTACAACTGGACAGTAAACCATAAGAATGCACGAATGTATTCAGAACCATTGGTGTGCAGAGAAAGCCTGTGAAAGTTTTGGCTCTCTGTGGACACTGCTCTGGTTCTGGCTTCCATTATGCATTTTTAGTCATACATTACGGGACTATGGACACTGAGATGCTGATAACTTTTAGTGGATGCAAATTGCCCCATTGTGTGAGTAAAAACTTCCTTGTGCGAATTTGAGCGAAACGTCGTTCACGATGGAACAACTTTTGCTAGGATGCACTTAGACTGGCCATGATTCTCTCCCACCTCGACTGGCTTTGGCATTCTCTGACCTCGCTATGTGCTACTTCCCAATGCATGCATAGCAACTTCCTCGCGAAAAACCGGGTGGAGTGTTATCAGATTCCAGAACAGCGCTTGCCAGGATTCACCTTGACCGGCTTTAACCTCCTTTCACCCCGTCGCCGACTCCAAATTCGTCTCACTACAGCTCTTCTCGATCGACTCACCACGGAGTGTGATTTCACACGCGGCACGCGCGTCTCGCAGTATACCATACTTGACGACTCATCTTCTACTCTTCAACATCTTCCTTCAGCTTTGGGTTAAGTTGGATGCACCGAGTCGTTCCGGTCTCGTTCTTCAACCTTCATCAAGTCGTCTTGGTCCTGTCCTTACTCTTTCTTCAAGATACCCGTCCTTCCTTCTTCATCAAGTTGTTCCGGTTCTGGTCCCCTTCCTTTCTCAAGCCATTCTGGAATCATCAATTCTCTTCTCTAACTATGGCCCCTGCTCATAGATCCACGAGCTCTGGACAGCCGCCGGATATGCCACCTAAAGAACGACTCAAGAAGCGCAACAACATACAATCAGGTGTTTTGCGCACCGATGAAGAGGAAAGGGAGTACAAGAGATCGCGTCTCTCTTCTCATATCAGTGGCTATTCGAAATATGTCCGAGCCCCGCAAGACTACTACGAGCGTGGAACAACGACTTCCAACAACGGTACGAGCGGAGGCGATCCCTACACGATCTATGGCTCCATGGATGAGAGTTCCCAACGCAACACACCAGTCGAGCCCCCAAGACACAACCCTCAGCCTACCTCGCACTATCGCCAGAAGGTTCCCGAAAACATCGTGGCAGGTTTGGGCAACTCGATCCTCACTCGCCGGCCTTTCCAAGAAGAAAGTGATTCGAGCGACAACAGTGGTCCAGACGAAGCCGCTGTCCAAGAGGAAGACAAGTATGATACTCCACCTCTGTTCGTTTATAGCAGTGAGAGTACGGGCGCCTCGAATATCCCACAGCAGCACAACTACAGAGAAGCAAGCAACATCCATTCCGACAGCACATCTCAGATTTATCAGCGTGATCAACAATCACTTCAACCTCCGTACTCTATTCACTCTGGTCCTGGACACTTGTACGATAATTTGCCTCGTCAACAGCCTGCACTTGCATCGCTCCGGCAGCCTAACACAGGACAGCATCAATCTCAATCAGTACTAGGTCGTCAGCCTCGTTTTATTGTTCCAGAACAACACGAGCAAAACGCGTCTCACCACGAACAAGCCAGATTTACTTATACTACTTTCGAAGATAATGAGAAGCACAGTCAGCGACGAAAACACCACAGGCAGTCGCAGCCAGGAGCAGAAGATACCCGGGAAGCGATCCCGGTACACCATCGCGACGAAACGACCCGGGCACAACACGAGGTGAACAACACTCACACTGACGCGCTCAGTTCTCCAGCAGTTGCGTCGAGACAGAAACGTGCAAACAAGCACTCGCAGCTCCCGGGATTGGATCGAACTGCTGTGCCTGGTACTCGTCCCAAGCACTCCTCTATACCAGATGGCTTCAAACACCACAAGGACATACTGAGTACGGTCAAGCCTCGCAAGAATCGCATCGACAAGCCGCAACCTCGTCAATTTCAAGAAGACATTGACTACCCGCCGCCAGAGCCAAGTCTCTACACCCAAACCACTAACATCGCTCAACCTGCAAGACCGCAGTTCGTTTCTCCTCTGGATTTAATTCAGGATTCTGTGCAACATCATGATTCTCCACCAGCTGTGCCGTCTGTTTCTACACAATCCAGCTCCAATCAAGCACTAGTCAGCAGAATTCCCAGAGAGCATTTGATGAATTTCATGCCTGATGACTTCGACAATCGAGTCTGGGAATACATGCACAGAAAAGAGCAGCCCATGGACTGGCATGGGGTAGTGGAGATTTTGCAGCTTACGCAGACGCCTTATGAGCTTGAGAGTCTCAAGGCCAGACAGCGACTTTACGCGGCAAAGCTTGCTCTTAAGCTACAGGAGAGAGCTACAGTGTCGGCAGAAGCACTGCGTATGCAAGGCATTGTGTCTCTTGAGAATGAGAACCATCAGAGACCTGCAGCACCAACCGCCAAAAGACCTGTTCCGCCAGCTATAACAGCTCCAACATCCGCTTCAGCTACACCATTGGTACTAGCTCCAGTTGTGCCAGCTCCTCAAATCAGACTCCCAGAAGCGAAACGCCTCGCCGGCCAACTAGAGCAAGAACGACTTGCCTGGGCAACAAAGGAAGCTGCCTGGACGACAAGAGAAGCAGAGCTGCAACAGCGCATCAAGACCTTCGAAGAAGACTCGGCTGCCAGAACCATCGAGCGTGCCGAACACGAAAAGCAACTCAAACTCAAAACCGAAGTGGAGGAAAAGTATCAGAAGCTAAAGGCCGAGGCCCAGACTCACAAGGAGAGCTTGAGAGACGAAAAGGCTTTGCGTGTCAAGGCTGAGCGTGATTTGAAAGCTGCCCAGTCTGATGTTCATAGACGTGCTCTTGCTCAAGCTGCCTCTGCAAGAAAGACTGAGGTCACCACTGCAGGAAAGATTGGCAAAGCCACTGGCGGTGGCTTTACGTTTTCGAAAGATGGCGAGGATGAAGATGGTGGAGACGATGATGTTTACGACGAAGGGGTGAAGAAGACGCCCACCAAGCGCAGAAAGTCTCGAAAGAGCAGCGATCTCAGAGAAGACGGTCATCCACACACCGGAGGCAAATCTTTACCACCGGCTGCCATCCAAGCTCTCTACAAACACCTCAACAACTGCAAAGACGAAGAAGAAGCTGAAGAGCCGCCAGAGGCCATCCAAGAAGAAGACCTTACGTACTTTGTCTACACCGTGTGTCGCAAACAATGGCCAATCACTGGACAAGAACCAGATAACGACTCCGCCGTCGTCTGCGGCGACTACACTTACCTCAACGCCGCCAACGTAGCCGTCACAAACGAAATCTTGCGTCCTCATGGCACCTCTTCAGCCATAAAGATCGATCCCGAGGGAGAACGAAGCCTGCACCAAGGCATGGGCGAGCACAAAATGGCTTGGGCTCAACTCGACGTGCCCCAAGGCCACGTCAAAGTCTGGGTGCAGAGACAATTGCACACCGAATTCGTGGGCGAGCTGCCACTCTTCGAAGACAAAGGTATACTGTCCAAGACTGTGTTTGCAGTCAGACAGCAAACCTTTGTTGCAACAGCAACAGCAACATCAATTGCTGCACCTCCTTCCTCCACTACCATCCAAGAAGACGACGAAATCTACACCACATTCGACCTCGCAAACATCAAAGCCAACGAAAAAGTGTTCAAACTGCTTTGGCCAGAAGGAACCCAATCCTCACGCATCGATGCCGTAAAAGCCAGAGAAGAAGCAAGAAAACAGCGGAAACAAAGACTGGAAGACTTGGAAGATCATGGTGAACTATTCACCGAAGAGATCAATAATGAAGACGGAAGTTGCGTCAAGGTTTGGGTTATACAGAAGACGGTTATTGGACCCAGAAATTGAGAAAAAATGGACAATTACTTTTGGGGGGGTTTTCTGAGAAAAAGAATAAGGATGGAAATTTTTTGAAAAAATCTCGAAGATACAGAAATCCAGGCAAGTCTTGGAGATGGCCTTAGAGGGCTGAGTTGCTGCTTTATTGCCTTGCTTCTTTTTAATTGAATGCTTTGTAAAATAGTTTTACACAACAAACAAACGCAGGTCATGGGGTTTCAAAAATGCTCTCTTCTTCTCTGTCTCACATGCACAAGTTTTTTTGGACTCTTTTCGCTTGCAATTTGTGTAGTCATTGCACTTTATCTAGAAACGTGGCTTCTGAACTAAAGTAGTCACTCATAAGCATTTGTTGTTTTGTTTATTATCCATGTTTGCCCTAAAACCCTAGCCATATAACATGAGCTCTAGAAAAGCTTCAAATCTCTTGCTGTACCCCAGAGTCAGATCAGAGCCCTGGCAACCCGGTGTTTACAAACATGCAAAGTGTGTGTAGTATCGAGCAAGGTTTTCTTTGTGAGAGAGAAACCCATCCAAGGCAGACCGAAGAAAGAGTAGTTGTATATATACATAAATATCTAAAAAGACTTTGTTTCATTAAACTATACATTACTTAAAAAGGTCCATTATGCATACACTCAACAACACTTCTTACGCAGAATAACAATACTTGTCAAAACAAGCATCACAAGCTGCAGGCAAAGCAGCACCCGTCTTCTTCATGACCGCACACCCAAGACAAACAGGCCACTCTGCATCCCCATCTTGCGTCGCAATGGCATTGCCATTAGCGATAATACCCGCCGTCTGATCCTCTGAAGTCTCAATAATGACAGTCTGGATGTTAGACGCATAGGTGTAATTGTTGTTGGGCAAATACACCACAGTAGCTGTTTCAGTGGTGTCACAGCCGAAAAACACGGCATGTTTGTTGAGTCCTTGAGCGAGGAAAACGTCAAGGGTGGGTACAAAAGGCATGCGAGAAAGTCCTTGGGCTTTGGCTTGCTCGTAGGCGCCGACGATGGCAGTGCCAGAGGGGAATAGATCGGTGGTGTCTGCGCCATTGTCGGCGGCAACGATGACATCGACTTTGCGTTCGGGTTGGATCAGTGGCCAGAAAGGCATTGCAGAGTTGCCTTCGCCGCCATCCACGATTTGGATTTCTTGTTGTGCGTTGGTGAGGGTGGAGGCCGGGTAGCCATAGAAGGGGTTCGGGTAGGGAGCGTACAGATCGCGGGTGACGGGGCTATGGGCGTTGAGGATTATGGCTTGCAGGGTCTGGACCAGCGATTGTGTGTTGTTCTGCGCAGGGATGGTGCTGCAGTAGTTGTTGAAGAGGGCGGAACTGGTGCCTGCTACATATCCCAGGTTGTCGTAGTTCTTGACGCACTTGCCGGATACAGTGGGAGCACCGTTGGTCAGTTTGGATCCGAGGTAGGCGGTTTGGGTAAAAGCATTAACGTTGGAGTCCCAGGATCCGAATTCGTAAGGAGTNCTATTGGATGGCAAGTTAGCTACGGTGCGTTTGGGGCACTGAGAGATACCTACGAATTCGTATTGTGTTCCATTTTCACGAGGGATGCATTCTCCTTCGAAGGTGTTGACACCTCTAGCAGTGATGATAGGAAAGGGCACGGCGTGGCTCGTGAAGTTTGAAGAAGAGGCCACGCTCGAAAAGGTCTTGCTAACCATTCCATCGGTTTTGAGATCTTCAGAGTTTGTGGAGAGCAGCTGGAANGAGAGCAATCTGCCGTAAACGTCGATGAGAGTAGGCTGGAATCCAGCCTTGGCTTTGTCGACAATGTCTTTGACCTAGCACAGGGTTAATGAAACAGATGCAAAGCGACATTCGGCGAGACTCACAATCTCGGCATATGCGACAGCAGACAATAGACGTGCAGGCACAAGAAGCGAATCGGCAAACGATTGAGACCAGAGGTTATCCCTCAGGTATGAGACAGTAGGCCAGTTCAGACCTGTCCAGGAGGTCGAGAACCATGCGCTTCCGGAGAGAGATGTCTCGTAGGTGAATGCCTGGTAGAGACCGCTTGTAGAGAGATCAGAATCACGGACATCTAGAGCCTGGACCAGACCAGCACCGGAGAGCAAGGCACGGTAGCCACCACCACTGAGGACCAATCCAACAGTGGGGAGGTTCGCGGTATCGAAAGAAGGGTCGGTCTTTTGCAACCAAGCAGCAAGAGCAGCATCGGCCTTGGGCTTGCGAGCAGCGATGTATGCAGCTTCAGCTGCGCCTACACTGTTGGCAGTGCGGACCAAGGGAGTGCTAGGGCAGCTTGCTGAGACGGGAGCATAGGGAGCGAGATTGGCAGAACGAGTGTCAATGGCAGCGGCCGAGGCGTGGCCAGCGAGGCCCAGCAGAGACAGCTGCAGCAGAGCGGCGTAGGGAGCCATAACGATAGACAGGGTGAGATGTAAAGAGAGACAGGATGGAGCAAGGAAAGATGACGGCGAGAACCTACCTTTCATACTACCGGTATGGTTCATATAAACAAATCAAGGGTGCAAGGCAAGCACAGACGAGGAATGTAGACGAAGAGCTTCTTCGGATGAAGTCCATCGTAAGCGAGCAGTGGTCGGCGCTGTTTCGAGAAGGACGGGAGAACAGGCCTGCTCGGCTATCTAGATCCACGGGTACGCACGTACTGAGTAACAAAGGTGCATGTTAGATAAATTGATTGGCGGCAAGGTACGGAGTACGAGAGTCTGGGTTGGCGAGCGGAGCAAGTAAAAGCGATTAGGCAGAGCATGAGAAATTGGTCGAGGGAGCACGGTCAAGATAAGAGAGAAAATATGGTAATAAGATGTCGACCTCGGTCTCAACATGAAGGGACGAAAGGTTGAGACACGAGTCGTGGCGCGGATAGGGCGGGCTGCCGGCAACATCTGCCAACGTGAAGCTTGGAAGAATGCTATGCTCGAAACGACGAGAAATAAGGTATCAGTGGTGGAAATGGCTGAAAACCACTGAAAAGAGAGAAGTAAAGGAGGATGGGCAAGAAGAGACAGCACATCAGCTTCCAAGACAATGCGCGAGCGAAACAGGGAATCATCAGCATGATCAGCAAGGTTGTTGGCGGCGGGCCGACCGAATAAATAGACATTCGACCCCACGTCTAGCGCGTTGTCGGAAGAAAAGGAAGCAGCAAGTGCAGTCGAAATGACAGACGGCGCGAGTGAAGGAGGACGCGACTTGGACCTGGAAAAGGAGCTGTCGTGCTCGGTAAGAGGCAGATGAGGCAGAAGAGAGAAGGCGGTAGTCAGGGACTAACGGTTCGTGACAGNNATCTGCACCGATGTCCTCCACCGGCCTCTGACGTTGCTCGACTGCCTACACAGCTTCTGCGGAAGCTGCTTGAAGGAATGGTTCGCATGGCAGGCTTCATCCAAGGGCCATGTCTACTCCTGTCCAGCATGTCGAGCCGTCGTGCGCGACACCAGGCCGAATGCGACTCTCAGCACGCTGCTCGACATGTTCCTGCAGGCTCACCCTGACAAAGGCAAGACGGCTCAAGAGAAGCTGGACATGGATAAGACATACAAGCCCGGGGACAACGTAATACCACCGGTAGACCTAGGTCAAGTGTCGGACGATGAAGATGAGCAAGAACAACAGATGCTGGCACAAGCGCGTGAGCTGAGTCTCAACGACGTAGGCCTTGGGAGCCGCTCAAGAGAGTCAACTCACACACGCCAGAACCGCCGTCGTGACGACTCGCCTCGCTCAGCCCGAGCCGATGCTTTGTCCCATCAGTCCAGTATACGCTCGCTTCTGAGCCAGTCCGATGTGGACTTTGGTGATATGGAAGATGAGATTATGCGCCATATCATTGACCACGGTCTCCTGGACGGTGTCGATATCAACAATCTGACTCCAGATCAAGAGGAAGCCATCACTGATTCCATCGCGCGAGCATATCGTTCTCGCCGCCGTCAAGACCGCCGTGAACGTCATCATAATCGTGACCGATCTACTGCTCGTCCTTCTCCACGACCTTCTTCTCATCGCCATTCTCCTCACTCCTCATCATACAGACATTCTCCTTCGACCTCAACCCACAGACATTCTCCTTCGTCGTCAAGCCACCGCCGAACTACTTCGACTGCTACGACAGTTAATCCTCATGCCTCAACTCCAATCGAAACTCAACCCTTGCCAGCAAGGCGCCGTGCTACCTCAGCTCATCATTTCCATCGGATCGACACCACGTCTGATCAGCGCCGCCATCTAGCCCCTAACTCGCCTTTACGACCTTTGAACCATAGTTCACCCGCTCTTCCCATCCCTCTCCGAGAAGAGTCAGTGACTGACGTACATGCTCCTTCGATAAGTTGTTCAAGGTGCGAGAAGCCTGATATACAATACTCGCTACATTATAATTGCGACAAGTGCTCTGGTGGTAGCTTCAATCTGTGTCTCGGATGCTATCGTGCAGGAAAAGGCTGTCTGAATTGGCATGGCTTTGGTCGCGCAGCTTCGGCTCGATACCGCCCTCAAGCTGGTTTCGGTGCTGACCACGCAGACTATGACCTTCCTCATGTTCTGTCAGCCAGACGATACGACCAGAATACTGCACGCCTGAAGTCAGGTCTGTTCTGCGATGGATGTCAGGCATTCGCGAATGCTTGCTACTGGTATTGCAACACTTGTAACGACGGAGCATGGGGCTTCTGCAATGTCTGCGTTGAACAGGGCAAGCACTGTACCCACCCACTAACCTCTGTTGCGCACACCTCTCAAGCGCCAACCTCTTCGCAACGACATTCGCCCTCAGAGTTATACCCACCACCACTAACACCCACCAACTCTGCCTTTCACTTTGCCGTCCCTTCAACATCTGTACCCCTATTGCCACACGTACCCGATCCCTCCTCCTACATCCCCATTGCCTTGGCGTCCTACTGCGATATCTGCCACTACTCAATCCCACCTTCACACGCCCGCTTCCATTGCAACACGTGCAACAAAGGCAACTACGACATCTGCAACTCGTGCTACCACTCTCTCGTCAACACGGGCAAGATAACTCGCGACAACGGACCCTCAGGCTGGCGCCGCTGCCCCCACTCCCACCGCATGAACATCATCGCCCATGAAGACCACAACCACACAACCCACCGCATCGTCCTTCTCTCCATGGTCGGCGGCCATGCCCTCAAAGACTCCATCCCCTCCTCTCAAGAGCACTGGCGCTGGAAAGAAAACGACGGCACGCCCAAAACTGCTTCTGCGGCTCTGTTTACTGCCTCCTCTTCACCGCAAGCATTTCCTCCTTCTGGAGGTATCGGGCTCACAGTCCAGGCTCTGTGGTCGTATTTCCCTGGCGACGGCGTCAAGGACGAATTGAGTTTTCCACGGCATGCGATTGTTACCGAGGTGGAAGACATCAACGGCGACTGGTTCTGGGGTGTTTATGCTGGAGCTAAAGGACTGTTTCCTGGTAACTATGTGAGGGTTGTTTAGGGGAGATGGGAGGAGTTGTGGCATGTGACTGCTTGGTCTCTGCAGTCGCGAAGTGCAAGACCATGGGCAAAACGGCAGTGCATGCGTCTGGGGAGCATGGGGAGCATGGGGTGCATGTAATCTTGGATGCAAATGTTCCCCGGAATATCCATCGTTGTTGCATGGAGAGAAGCAATACCGTTGCTGCATGCATGCAGCATGGAGTGAAGCAATGTTGTCGTTTTTGCATGCATGAGATAGCAGCATGGTCGTTGTTGCCATGAGACGGGCAGTATCGTTGCTGCATGCAGATATTGGGGAAAGAGGTTGCGAGTTGGCCGTTTTTCTTCTTGAGAAGCATGCATGCATGCATGCAAGATGGACGATTTCACTAATGAGACACATGATCACTTTCTATTTCCACCTTGTGCATCTCTGCATATCCGTCGTGATGTGTCTAGGCGCCGCTCACATTGACCCTTGGCCATCAAACTCGTGGATGTGACTTTTTTGTTTGAGTAATGTACAGTAGTATACACAAGATTGCAGACATACCTGATGTCTGTCTATAGCGCCTCGTAGTCCTTGTTTCTCAGAGGGCTGTCCCAATCAAGGAGCCTTCGTCTTTAACTGCACACCATGCCACCCTTTGATCTCATCCTTGAGCACGGCATTGACCAAACGATGTTGCTTGATCACGCTCAAGCCCTTGAATTTTGCAGACACAATGTCGAGAGCGTACATGCTTCCACACCCACCACTGACATCCTGAACCTGTTGTTACGTCTGTGTCAGCTTTCCTGCTTCTGCTTTGTGCTACTACTTGTCTTGCTGGTATAAAGCACGAACCTCGAGCTTTGTGGGCGATAGTTCTGCGGCCAGCTTTTGGAAGATGTGGAGTTCTTTTTCGTCGAGGTAGTCTGGAGCTTCGACTGCGGTGGCGGGTGATGGTGCTGCTGCTGCGTCTGAGGAATTGTGTCTAAGTGACGGCGAGGTTGTGAGGACGAAGCGCCGTGTGAGGGTGGAGCGAGAAGAAGGCGACAAGTGGTGCAGTTGTCGCGCTGGGAGTGCTGCCGAGGCCAATGTGCGGGAAGAGGATCTGAGGGCGGCGAGGGCGGTGGACGCGCTGCGGAGGACTGCTCTTGAGGGTGCCATTGTTTTGTTCCGAGATGGTGCGGATGATTGAGGGGTTGTGAGTGATTGAAGGTGTCTTGGTCATGGATTCGAGGGTCGAGCTATTGGTCAGCCTTGACTCTGGACAACCCCACAGTCCACAGCACTTGCTCTCACCAACGCGTCACAGTGATAAAGTCGCGTCTTCTTCTTTCAGAACATTTCTACTTATCTGAACAATGGATAGATATCTCATTCAAATGACCGCTCCCACTGGCAACACAGCCGAGCACATAATCACAACACCCTCTCAACCCACCCAATTGGCAGGCACAAAGCGCAAATCCACAGACGCCTCTGATTTAGCAACCATCAACCTCGATGACTACGACATACCCGATGGCTCACCCATGGACTCTTGCACCGTAGTCCGCGGCAAGATAAAACGTTTCCTCGAAGCGGGAGAAATGAGAGTGGGCCAATTCTGCGACGCCATCGGGGTCTCTGGAAATGCATACAGAAGATTCATGGCCCAGAATGGCAAGTTTGCTGGCGAAGGCAGTGAGACTTATCAGAATGCTTGGCTGTTCTTCAAGAAGAGGGAGATGGCTGGTCTAAAGATTCCTACCAAGAAGCAAAAGACTGCTACTGGCGCTTCCTCCTCTTCTACTTCATTCGCAGCAGAAAACAAGAATGCCGTGACAGATATAAGTAACATTCATCTCGATGGTATTGAAAATCCCTCTCGAAAAACCACTCTCCAACCAAGAATTGGCTGACGACCACTCCCTAACAAACAGNGAGAACAAGATGACGCCGTAGAAGTCTACGACAGCTGCGACGAAATACGGAAGAAGATCTCTGCACACCTGCGCAAACCCAACGTCACAGCAGCCCAATTCTGCCGCGACCTACTCACCCAATACCACTCCTCCAAGAAACCTCCCCAAATTCAATCCGGCCAATTGACAAAGTTTCGCGGCTACAAAGGCGCAGACACCGGCAATACTTCTTGTGTGTTTTATGCTGCGTATGTGTTTTTCGAGAAGGTGAGGTTGGCAGAGGGGAAACCGAAGAGTAAACATAGAGTTGAGATGGAGGAGATTTGGGGTGGAAATGGCGGGTTCAATGTTACTAGGGGACATCACAGAGGGTATGTTGCCATGTTTTCCTCCTCTTTTTCCTTTGCGTCGCTCCTTAGCCGTCGATGGACTGACTGTGGTGGCAACAGATATCTTGTCATGGGCAATGACAGACCTGTGCAAGACCAGTTCGGTCGAGTTACCATTGTGCGAGGACATTGATTGCCTCGTACTGATGGACAATTCCACCGGGGCGGACAGTTATGATGCTTATGAACACCTACACAATGTCAGGATCTCTGTCAATCCTCCAAGATGAGTAGCGCAACGAATTGGCAGAGCTTATCAATGACAATGCAAGTACTCTTTCTGGATGTACTGTAGTATAAGCATACCAGCCGTAGGACGGGCCAGTAATCTCACTAACAGTACAATTGCGCGCTGTCATCCAGGACGTACTGCACAGAACAGTAGCTATACATGCAACGGCGGTGATAACAGCGGCTGGACTGCCCATGTCGATTCGCGCATCTAACAGCTGCACTGGAACCGAGTCTGAATGATTGAAGCGAGGCGTGTCGACCTGCACAACATCTTTGAGATCGGATACATCGGCCATCGAGAGTGACACTGTTGTAAGCTCTCATCGATACAATCTCGGCTTCCAAGCACAATGTGCTTCGCATGAATCGGAACATTGTGTCCCCTAGTCCGCTCAAGACTTACAGCATCTCTGCTGATACGGCTAGGCCAATCCTGATCCACAAGTCGCCCTCGGTGGAAAGGAGGATATGCCTACAGTCCTCTTTGATCGGCTTGGATCTTCCTCCTACTTCAGAGAAAAAACAGGCATCCGGCAACACGATACACCCACCTTTTTCCTCCTAAGCGCTTTCCAATGAACATGTTCTTCACCCTAGTGCAGACCACCTTATATGGTTGACCGCTAAGGTTTTAATGGACCTCTCCAAGTTCTTCAAGGCGTCCAGTAGAACACAACCCAACGACCCAGCCTCGCACAAAGTGATCGCAAAGCCGGATCTACATGCCTCTCTGAGCCGGCAAGGAACACATAACCAGAGAACCCACAACAGAAAGCACAGACAAAAGGCAGCAAAAGCACCACAGCAACTCCGTATCAACGTGGATCTTGCACCTCTGGCAACTCGCATTCATCACACCATTTTCTTTGTTTTCGTGTTTTGGGGGCAAGCCCGAATGCCCAGTATCTCTCGAGAAACTCGGATACAGCGCCGTGCACGACATGCTCACAAGCATCATAGCATCCATATCCCCCATACTTGTTCCTCACAAAGCACCGAGTCACGCCAGCACATATGACATTGATGGAACCGACACACACATGTTGCGTCTTTGCTCCACATGCACGTCAATAAACGAACACGCATATGCTTAGCTTGGCTTGCATTACCGGGCGAAGAAAGGATGGGGCGAAGAGAAAAACAGAGGGTCTCCTGTCATGCTATACCTGCATACTGTACTCGTGTCTCTTTTCCTGCAGGATTCATCGAGTGTAACGTACAGTGTACGGAGAACTCGGCGCGTGCGTGCGGTGGGATGCAGTGTTTAAACGAAAGAAATACATGCATCTTGCATCATGCACTCCTCATGTCACCTTTTCCTCATCACCAACGAAACGAGCTCTCTGGGGAGTTGGGATTTATTGCTGCAAAATGTAACTGCAAGTTAAAGAGGTACAGTTGTACGTAGATTTTGACTGAGAATCGAAAAGGTGGAGCAATAATGTCTCTTTTTGATCGCGTGGTACAACAAGGCATCTAACTCTCAAGGAGACGAAAGGTCTTGGGTAATTCCCAAGAAGCACATTTCCCCCATGACTTTCACTCTATGTGTCGCGGTTCCCTGTTTTGGAACTTATCCATCATGCGTTGTTATCTTTCTCCAAAAACCACAAGTCTCGACTCTTTCTTTTCGGAAACCATTGCATAAACCAACAGTTTCTTTCGCAATCCTTCATTGCTTTGATCCCTCAGCAGTTGGGATGGAATGTACAGCTGAAGAAGAACGAGACCCGGACAAGTTATTAGCGCCAATCTTTTTGGCCGATTTTGCTTCAACTCTATTGGTCGCGAAAGAATCTAGGTTGAGCAGTGAAACGTTCATCTTCCTTGCCGCTCTGAACTCTTTTTGGAAAGTCACTACTTGGTCTAGTTCTTTTCCAGCCACAAGTTGATATTCGCATGGCTTTACTCAACAATATCTGTCACATGTGAATTCTGGAGGTTTCGGATTGATTTGTAGCAAAGATGAGAAAAAGATATGGTTTGATATGCTGGAAATGACGACGGCAGGGTGTGTGTTTGGGTTGGGTGTCTTGCGCAATACTTTGGATGATGTAAAGACAGCGCCACAGGTGGAGCGGGCAGAGTTTGTCTAAAGAGGTATGGGATAGACAGGGGGTTGGTGAGGGGGTGGGACGTCAGCTATGCTACAACAACGCCATCACCAAGAGTGTTTGGAGGTTCTGTACTGTAGCAGTATACATTCTTCTTACTGCACCCGTGGTTGACCGCTTGAGAATGTTGTCAGTGCTCTTTGAGAAGTGGTAGACACACGGACACACGGACTCGACCATCTACACAGTGTACAACTCTGGTGACAGTGCGGAGTGCATGGAAGCGCAAGCGCAAGGCGACGCAGCTGAAGGGGAGGTTACACCCGATGTTGCGTAGCGTCTGGGCCTTTTTCTGCCTTTCTTGTGCCCGCTGGGAATATTGAAAGTACAATTAGCACCGTAGAGCATGGATTGCTGTATGTTGTCTGTCCCCCTCCAAAAACGCGTTCGAGCTTCCAGATTCACGGTCATGTTGTATCAGTCAGACCCTGCGGCTGATCCCAAAAACTGTGTTTCCATAGACGACATGTCTGCCGAGCATTGTGGTTGGAGAACTTGCTCCGCGGTTGATAAACACAGATAGCCACAGCTCATTTCCTAACTGAGTAGTCGCATGGCTTTTGTGGCTGGGAGATCATTGTTGGCAGATCTGTACGGCGTACGGAGGTTAAACTCACAGCAACATGTCCATGGGAGGTTTAAAGCAGTTCCAAACTCTTTTGCTCTTTGCTTCCAAATCATCATGGCAAGTCATGTGTCTGGCACGCAAGCAAGAAGTGCATGTTGATCAGGGTCTTGATGTCAGCAACAAAAAGTATACTTTTCAGATCGGCGTGACGAACGAAAAAGGGGTTCGCGAGCAAGAAGTGCGGAGACCGCTCCTCTCTCTACTTGTCTTCTCTCCTCACTCTTTGCCCCAACAAACCTCCACAGCGAGCACGAGACATGTCGTTGACTCTCCCTCGGGGTCTCCGCGTCTCCATCACTCCACCTGTCTCTGCAATCGGACCGAAGCATGGTGTGTCGAGTTTGTGCGAAAGCAGCGCCGAAGTGTGGATATCAATTTCACTCCACGAAATCCTTCGGACCTTTTTACCCCCAATTGACGTTGAGAAAAATCTGGAGTTGCATCTGACGAGTGGGATCCATGCTCTGGAAGCCTACTCCAGAGTTCGGCTCGTTCAACGGAAAATCATGTAAATCTCCAATAAACATATTCGGGCAGGATTGGAGGGGTTCTGTTTCTCCTCGGATGACTAGCCGATCTTGGGGTCGAAAAGAGGAATGTGATTGACGCGCACAAGAATAGAACACCAATACCAAGGAGAGCAAAAATCAAGGGATGCCCGTGACGATTTGCCAGAGTTCGGGAGGTACTCTGATACTTTGAGACGTACAATGTCCAGCGACCCTGCGGAGGGAGGTCGAGTGCGGGGCCATCCTTGCCCGTGCGACAAGAAACATCAATCTCAAGTTTCCAAATCCGCAGTGTCCAGCGCATCTGCATGCCGTGTACTGAGACTGGCCCTGTTGCCCCAGATCTTTGCCACTGCGTCCAAGACATTGATCAGATCCAAATGTCGTGATAGCAAAATTACAAGCAAAGGATTGAGCCAAGCCCTTGAACCCCGCTTCCTAGAGAGCGATGCGAGAATGCCAGTGCCAGTGAGGACAAGACACGGACTTTGACTGCACTTCCCACTCGTATGCTGTGCAGCACGCACGCGTGCATCGAGTCCTCTGATGTCTTGTCCTTATCTATGAGACATGGTGTGATGTCTGCTGCCAAGACGATAGACGTAGTCTAGCACTGTCTTTTGACGAGTTGCCTCTTGGTCTCGACACGCAAGTCTTCTGAGCAAGAAGCTGCACTCATGGCTCGAGGCCCTTGAGTATTGATACATGTCAAAGATGTGCATGGGATGATCCTGTAAGTAGAGTGGACATGGACCCTCCAAGACCTGCTGCATCTGGGTACAAGCCAACGGTCTTCCCGTCCCAAGGGCAGATGTACCCATGTACATCTTGTACATTGCTTACTTGCGCAAGACGAGCCGCAAACCGCTGTTCCCATTCGAGAAATGAGTTTGTGTGTTTCCAATGGTCGGAATATGGATCCGTTGCTGTGTCAATGTGTATGTCCTAACTCAAATCAGACAACAATGAGAGAAACAACACTCGGAAGTGGCTGTCCAGCAAGAGATCCAGACATGCCACGGCAACAATGTAATTGATAATCAACCATTTTTTATGCATGTTGGTTTCTGTTGCGTCTGCTCGTAAATGCAGTGCAAGCGTTGTTGAGATATTGCCAGGTGTCGCGCACAGACCTTTTGAGCGTGTAGAGGGTAAAACGCCCCCAGTCTCGCCAACGTCTTGTTCAACACCCCAAGGAACATCCTCTACAAAATTTGGTGTGGCTTGTTGATGTGTGTTGTGTGGGAGGAAGTTGTTGAAAAGAACGCCTGGTGAGCCGTCAGATTTGGCTGAACGTCAGAGGCGCGAGTGGCGCGTGTGTGCTGCGCGCTAGTTTCGACCAACCGCAACAATTAATAAGTTATCGGTCGGGGCCGCGAGCCGTGAATGTTTGAAATGCTGAACTATCTGTGTGCCGGACAGAGGCGTTGTTTGTGTGGTCCGCAAGAAGTCGAACAAGAAGATTTTACGTCAAAGACTCTGTTGCACATACAGTTGGTGCCGATAGCGAGCTGTCAGTGATATGTGTAAGTTGTACCGACCGGTCAAGACAGTCTTTTGGGGGCTGACAGGATTCTTGTCCTTCGACAGGCGGTATCGGACTGGTCGCGCGCTTGTAAGATAGCGGGTCGCGGAAAGCGTTTACGGT